TTATTCAAAAATAAAAACATCATCGCTTTCTCAAAATCACATAAAGCTATATTATAACATCGACTGAGATAAATAATAAAATGAAATATTAAAATTACGATGTATTTCGCTGCATTGCACAAATACGCTTCTAGTTTTCATCAAAATCATATGTGATTCATAATTAACTTAGTTATTTTTAAATTATTTTTCTAATCATATGTGATTTAAAATTTGAAAAAATGAAAACATAATCACGTATGATATGTAGGAAAATACATTTAAAATGTATAAGATCACATGCATTTTAAAATGTAATTTATAATTTACACATATCACATGTAACGTTGCAGATAACTTATACTTTTTTCTACTATGATCAATATTAACAAAAATTAACGATTATTTTTAGGAAAAAATGTCGAATAATTTGTGGGTATAAAATGTGATTTTTGATGTAAATTCTAAAAATTCTTAAACAAACTACTTAAAAAAAAAATTAATAAAAAACTACATCACACTTATTTGATATGTTGCAAAAAAAAATCACGTTTAAATCATGAAAATAATAAGAAAATTCATGAATAAATACCTTAATTAGATTTATTAAATGATTTTTATAGAAATGAGTGAATTTTTATATATAATCTGTATACAACAAAGGTATTATTTAACAAAATGATTTACCTTGAATTATTCTCTTAAATATGTATCATTCTCATATAAATACAACTCTATAGATATATACATAGAAAATATATATAATATAACTTTAAATAATAATAATAATATAAGGTATCAAATATATTTGTTTATTTATAAAATAATAATAAAAAATATAATATATTTTTTAGCTACATTCCTGAGGGTGTAAATAGCAATTTCCATAATAAAAATTTGAGTGTTAAAATTTAACATTAGTAGTTTTGAGTAGAGATAATATATTTTATTATAAATATTGATAAACTTTTATCAGAATAATTTTAAAATATCAAATATTAAAAAGTATTTGGAAAAAACGGTTTTGTTTTTTTGTTAACCCCCGCCCACCTTCTTCATCTCAACAACTTCAGTTTTCACTTTTCAGTCATCCTACTACTCCTAACTCGTGTATATAAGAATCCATTCATGAGCAGGAAAAATGAGTGTTGAAATTAACAGGTAGAAATGGCCAGCAACAACACCTTCTTGGTAAATGCACCCTCGTTGGATATCATGACTGAATTCAAGTGCTCTTCCAAGCCTCATAAACGCATCATCTTCATTGGTATTACACTTGATCATCTTCTTTTCCTTTTTGAGTCTTTTTGAATATGTTTCTTTTTTAACGTTATTGAGATTGATGATATATATATGTTTGATTCGATATTGTAGGTCCACCTGGGTCTGGAAAAGGCACCCAATCCCTCATCATTAAGGAAAAATATGGCCTATGCCACTTGGCAACAGGTGATATCTTGCGAGCCGTTGTCGCAGCGAAGACCCCACTCGGGATTAAAATCAAGGAAAACATGGAGAAGGTATATATATGCTTGGTTATGTTTTTTTTAAGGTATATATATGCTTGGTTATGTTTTTTTTTTTTTTTTTTGGGAAAAGAAGTTATGTTATTTAGGGGGTGTTTGGGATTTGCTTATTTGAAACAACTTATGCTTTTCTACAAAAGTGATTATCAACTTATTATAAGTTGGAATGGTTTAACTTCTTCAAAAACTTTTTATTACCGGTTTGACACAGGTAAACTGTTTATCCAAACACTCAAAAATGCTTATTACCGGTGCCACACCAAAATAAATCAATAAGTTATTTTTATTAGATGATTTGATTTGATCTGATCTTTGTTTTGACTTTAGGGAAAAGTAGGGCCTGATGACTTGGTGGTTGAGATCATGAACGAAGCAATGAAAAAGCCATCTTGCGAAAACGGTTTCATTCTTGATGGGTTTCCTAGGACACTTGCTCAAGCACAAAAGGTTCATCATTTTTTTATTTATTAATTTGACATCCAAATCGCTATACGAGCTGATTAATCTTAGGCGACCATCTGTTTTGCGGGTAGTTTGAAGTTACTGTATTTGAACCTCCATGACACAAGAAGATTTTTATTCCTCATTGGATTTGAACCTAGTACCTCCAGTCACTTTTGACCTTTGGAGCCCAAGTTCAAACTAATCAGACACCACCCTTGTGGTTAGGTTTCTTCTTCATTAATTTCAATCTTTATGCCTTTTGTTAATTTATGTCTAAACAAATTCGAAATGTTAATTTATATTTATACTCCTTTATAAAAGTGGAATTACGGTTATCTTTTAAATTTTAATAAATAGCACCTTATAAACTTAATCAATAAATTTTACATCTTATATATTAAAAATGAAAGCAGTTTTAATTTTTAAATTACATTTTACACCATTATCATATTAACATAAATAACTGTATATGAACAAAATTCATTAAAAAATACGTTTCTTTTTTAATAAAATATATCATTATAATCGTCTCGTCAATACCTTCAAAAGTACATCTCAGCTAACACACAAGGTTTTCAAAAATCAATCTTCTACAGTTTTTGACTGTCATGAGCACCGCCAGGTGCCAACCCATTTTCTCATGTAATTATTTTGTGAGAAAAAAAAATGAAAATTATGATTTATCAGATATTGGATTTTTGATTTTTTTTTTTCTAAACTACATATGATGAATATAATTATCGATAAGATAACTTTTTTATGAACTTGAGTGAATAAACCGATTAACCAACATAAATATTTTACGTATGAAATTCTCAAGATCTAACACTTGAGGTACCAAATGAAAGAAATAAGAACAAAAATGTAAGACTTGAAATATGAAACATAGTTGGAGGGCTTACTTATATTTATTCAGAATTTATATTCAGTTATATTATACAAGTATACAACTAGCATCGAGATGGACAAAAAACAAAACAAAAATGAGCATGATTGACATATTAAGTTCTCGATTTTAAATCAAGATGCACACATCGCACATGCATCTTACTAATTAGCCTAAATGATTTACATTTTACATCAGACCCTTGATTTGTTTTTTGCAGCTTGATGAAATACTTGAGAAGCAAAGAACCAAGATTGATAAAGTGCTTGATTTTGCAATCGACGACTCCATCTTGGAGGAGAGAATTACTGGGCGTTGGATCCATGCTTCAAGTGGTAGAACATACCATACGAAGTTTGCACCTCCCAAGGTTCACGGCGTTGATGATGTAAGCCATAAGAAATCCATGATGTCTTTTTGTTTAAGGGTGTCCCAAACTATGCACGGACTAATCCCGGAAAATTGTAACTGTAAAAAAATCAGTCTTGATAAACTCAGTGGTCACAATTGTTGTATACACCTGAAATAGAACCTTGAGTAAATGCGATATTCCCCCACATCCCCCAGGGTCTCAACCATTAAGCCACAACCCTTGTGGCTGACCAAACCCAATCTTATTGCATATTTATTGTTTCTTCTTCTTGTAGGTTACTGGAGAGCCTTTAATCCAACGGAAAGATGATACTGCAGAAGTTCTCAAGCTAAGGCTGGAGGTTTTTCACCGCCAAACTGAACCCGTAAGTGCTCTTTTGCCTAATATTGTTGAAAAATTATGCATGATCTTTTACTTGGATGGAAATCAACATTTGAATTGGCAGTTACTTTAAGGGAAGTGGTTGGAACTAACTGTCCCATTTTCTAAGGTAGAGGACATGTATGTGTACATTCAACCACTAGACCCTATTTTGGAGTGGGATGTACTTGTGTGTTTGTGTTTGGTTTGGTTTGGTTTTCAAGGGAAATGATTAAGTAGTTGTTAAATATCTAGAATACCCTTCAATAAAGACAAAACAAGAGATCTTGTAGACTCAAATCGAGATTATCAATTTAATTGTAGCGACAATAGTGTGCAAATAGGTACTTTCAACTTGAAAAATGGTGATTTCCATGGAAACAACTGCCATACTCCTTAGGGACTGTTTGGTTCGCGGATTGAAGGAATTTAATGAAATTGGAATGACAAATTCCTTTGACCAAACGTTAATTTCTTTGTTCGGTTTTCAAATGGATGGAATTCTTTAAATTCCAATGAGTTCCACAAATCAATGAATTCATCATTCTTTGGCATAATGGAAGGAATTGAATTACATCCTTTTGCATCCAATTTAACCAACACCGACTACCCCTGCCCCCACCACGACCATGCTACTATTGTCACTGTCATGCTCCCACCCCTACCCCCACTACCACACAACTATTGCCACCATCACAAGCGCCACCAACACTCACCCTAACCCCAACCCACCACTGACCACCATGTCATTATTGTCGTCATCACATATGTCACCCCACCCCACCTTGCCACTAACCACCATGCACTATTGTCGTCGTCGCAGCGGTCACCCCTCCACCCCATCACCCACCCACACCACCCTGTCACCCGCCCACTATGCCACTATTGTCGTCCTCACAATTACTACCCCGCCACCCACCCCACCGACCACCATGCCACTACTGTAGTTATCACAACTACCACCCCAACCCCAAGTCACCAACCACCACGCCATTATTGTAGTCGTCACAACTACCACCCTGCCCTCGACCACCCAACCCCCTCCATCGTCACAGCTTCCCCAACCATGAAATCCATGGATTACATTAAAACTTGTTAATAACATTAGCATCCATGGGTTTTTTTTTACTGAACCTTAAACTAAAACACCATAAAAGTTGATTATAGAATGAGATTCTTATCATAATTCGTTTTCCCACAACATACATATAACTAACAATTATTTCCCCCCAAATCCACCACTTAAAAGAACCCTAGCTTCCACATCAATAACAATAAGGAAGAGGAGATGCAAAGGAGATGATATTCTTACCCGAAATGAAGCTTTTCCACTTGATTTTCTTCAAATCCTCCTTTATCTCCTTCTCTTCTCTTCTCTTCTCTCGTCTCACAATCGCACCCTCATAAACACACACATAGAGTTTTCATCTGATTTCCAAGTGGTTTCCTCGTATAGTTCAGTGTTGTAGCAATGCAGGAGCATGAGATACACAACTCCAATCCTGCCTAAAAGTCCAAATTAGCCTACTAAAGAATAAAAATAGGTAAATCATTAACTCTAGCTCCATAAACAAAGAAATGGAAAATAAGGAAACACAATGACTCAATGTTGGGATATAAAGGAAAAATAACCTATAAATATGAAGAGTGTTTAAACACTAAATAGTTAGTGCATATCACCAAGAATGAGAAAAGAGTAGAGGTCCAACTCCCTTTTATTTGATATTTACCCTGCGGCCCCTAAAATTGAGTTCACTAGTCAAAATTCACCTACAACGTTGATTAATTTATTAAAAGGAAACCCGGGTTATTACATCTCATCCCCTACCCCAGACCCACCCTTGGATGTATTGTGGGGATTGTTTTCTTTTGGCTCTTGTGGGGGCATTCAAATGGTGCTTGAAGATACAATTGTGGTTCCCATATGTGTTAGGTAGAATTGAAAATGGGATGCACATTCGAGCTAAATCATATTATTCCATATGCCTGTCATTTGATATATTGTGATCGTTTTGGTTTTGGATCTTGTAGGGGCATCCATATGTTATGGGTCCCATCTGCGCTAGGTAGAAACAAGCGAAGATGGGACACACATTTGAGCTCATTCATTGTCAGTTTCATGGGATTTCCTTGATATTGAAAAGCCTATTTTATGTGTGAACTACAGGTTATAGAATACTACAAAAAGAAGGGCGTCGTTGCAAAGATTCCTGCAGAAAACCCCCCGAATGAGGTGACTGCTGAGGTTCTGAAAGTCTTGTTGTCTTAGCGGATGCTTGCAACTTTCTTTTTGTTGATCCTAATGTTATCTAACCCGATACATAATCGGGTCAACATCTACATTCGTGCTACAATTTTCATTCTTCTAAGCATTATGCAAGGCATGTGACTGAGAAACATAAAACTGTACCAAAATAAAACTTTCATGTGATACCAGAAAAATCTCATTTACATATCAAATGAAGTTTGATCTTTTTAATTCATGATTTCTTACCTATATTTTTCAATCTTAAATAGCATATCTATGTATACACTATTATAAAAAAAATATGTTTAAAGATGTATTATAGATGTATAAAAACATATTTTTCAAATATAGTAGTAAGAGACTGTTTATCAAACACTTATTGGGTAATCGCTTATCTTATTGAGTGAACATGATAAGGATCGAGAATCTTACCTGGTAAGTGAGGGAGATACTCGTACACTGTTACCGCTTACCGAGTAAAAAACAATTACGAACAATCCATTTTGATGGCCTTGAATATTAAACTAACGGTAGTGAGTCTTGCCGATAAGCTTTTGATAAACATCTCTAAAATGTTGTTTGGTTGGTTTTCCATTAAGTTCTGTATGGATAAAACTGTATGTATGAATTAATCTCTTTGTATAGATTGAGAATCTTTTTGTTTGGGGATATTTTTTCATAGATGGATAAAATTGGATTTCTGCATAAACCTCCTCCATAAAAATTATTAAATAAACCACTTTCTATATCATTAAGCCACTACCAAAAGTCATTCATAGATGACCAAATAAATTATAAATCCTGTTACACTCATTAAACTACTGAAATATTAGCTTATTGATAGAAATCACAGGGTGGCAAAACACAGTTTTGTTTTATCGTCTAATTTATTTATTTAACCAACCCTTTTAAATATATTTCTCATATGCTTATTGTGTGTATCTCAATTTGTAAAGCGGTGGGACGACTTTGTTCAAATATAAGATAAATTTCGGGTTTGATCCTAGACTCTTGCTAGTCTCAATCACTGAGTACGACAAAAAAATAAAATAAAGAGGTGGGATGACATTGATGTCCTTGAAGGCGGGTTTCATGTATAACTGGTTGTATCTTATCGGTAATCAACTTTTTATTCAAATAAACTCGATGATACCCATTTGTTCCATTTAAAAGAACAGATAAATAAGACTATTTTTGTCTTTGTTCTTATTTTTAATTAAAATCTTCATTTTTCGGTAACTAACTTTCAAAACTCGCTATTTTGATTGGCCAAACTCTAAAGGAAGTTCTTTTTCGAAAATCAAAATTGAATTGATTTTGGTTTCGTTTTTTTATTAACTTGGATATCCAATCCGCTATGCGAGCCAACTAATTCTAGGGTGACCACATGTTTTGCGGGTAACCCGGAGTCACCGCATTTGAACCTCCGTGACCACAAGATGATTTTTATTTCACCTTGGATTTGAATCTGGGATCTCCAGACACTTTTGACCTTTGAAGCTCAAGCTCAAATCAATCAGGTATCATCCTTGTAGTTTCGTTATTATGCCACTAATATAAATTTGAATAATATAAAAATTCTGAAAAACTGGGTTTCAAAAAAAAAAAAAGTCTGAATGTTGACTTGTAAAATAGAAACGAAAGCAAAATTGATTTTATATTATCGCTATTTTCCTTTTAAAAGAATTATCATAATTTTTGTAAAAACAAAAACATATGAATTGTTTAAACGATAAGATAAACCGATGAAAAAATTGATTTTATATCGTCGAGTTCTTGCTTCCCTCACCTAATTAAAATATTAGGTTTGCTAAAGGGTATTTAATTTAGTGATATGTGAGTCTTTGGCCTACTAAGAGGTTCAGAGTTCAAATCTCATCGAATATAAAAAAAGTGTGTAAGTTTATTTTGTTCTATTTATCATATATATATATATATATATATATTATATTTAAAAAAATTATTAGGCTTGACCATGAAAAATGGATCGAACTTCTAAAAATTATCCGAACCTTGTGTGTGTAATATAATTTAAAGGTAGTTTATTTAAATCATATATATGAATTTTGCTATATGTATACAGATCATCAAAGGTCATAAAATGTTCTAATATCATATCACAGAATACAAGAATACCTTCATTTTACGAGAATGTGAAAACATCATTTTTATCATAGATAATCATATGTGATACTATATTTCATCATATATGATACAAATATAATACTAAAAATCAGAGACGCGGACGAATTTTGCCGCAATTTAGTTTACAAGACAAGTCGCCCTCATACCATCTCGAATCTAGCCATTAAAAATTAATCATTAAAAATACTAAAAGTGTGTGTTCATGTAACGCTAAAAAAACATTTTTAATATTATAATAACAATAAAATGATATATGTATTTATAAATACTTAAGATTATATATAAAAAATTATTAAAACGTAATATTATATTAATATTTGATTTATAGATCTAGGCTAACTTTATTTACCTCCAAATATAGAAACCAATTTTATTGACCTCTACTTTTTTTCCAAGTGTTTTAACGATGAGTTGGAGATGAAAACATCTTTATTTTAGAGATGCACCGAATACAATCGAACATCATCTTTGACCTAAGTTTACTACAGAGCCCACCGTTAACATCCAGAGCTGCAGAAACCAGACATGGGTTGCGGGTTCAGTGATTAGGACCCATATCCGTAGGGTCCGAGGGTCAAGGATCAGGGCGGTGGTGAGTAAGGAAGAAAGCAAAGTAGTAGTACGGATGAATATGATAAGGATTAAGAGTCTTACACGATAAGTGAGGGTGATGACTCTTAGCACGCTTGTAAACGCTTACAAGATAAATTGTTTCATACGATACTGTTTTGATGGATTAAAATCTAACCCAATAAGTAGATGATAATGTTAACTTTTACTGTTAAACGTCTATCCTATCGGGTAAGTGTTTGGTAAACAACCTCTAGATTGATATTTGGGCCTCACCAGTCACCAATACGGGTTAATGAACTCTACTTGCAAACATGACGAAGAAAATGATATAAAAGTAATAGAATCCATGTTGCAGTAACCAAATCAGGCATTTTTGCGGAGTGTAGTGCAAGGCATCAACTCATTCTCGTGTTATGGAGTTGACGGCCAACCTAATGATTCCGGCCAACTTTGGCCGTCCGGGAGCCATTCCGGTCACCAATTTGCTCCAGAAAGAGTTGTACTTGGTTGACATGGATAAGAAGAATCAAGAAGAGGGACTATTGTTCCAGATGGTAGCGGTAGCCCTACACCGGAGATGGTTTCAATGTTTGATGCTTCTGGAGATAGATAGGTTTAGATGTCTGGGTTCGGGGAAGACGTGGGGGTGGTGGGAGGGGTGGACACGTGGTATTACCTAACTGCTACTTGAAATTGTTTTTTAATTAGTTAATAAAAAAACCAAAATAATAATATTCATAATTGAAGGATCCAATCCCTAATTCTAATACAGGTTATTAGGACAAAACCTGTAATTTATTGTCGGAATTATAATAATTATCTTTATTATGTGGAATTTTAATAATTTTTTATTATTTACGGAACTTATAAAATAAAATAAAATAAAATAAAAAGATATAAGTGATTTACTCATTATATAACAATAAACCTTTTTTATATTGTTTTTTCAAATTTACTCATTATTTTATTATTTATTTATGTCGATATAATACGGTTTTTAGTGGTTTTAAGAAAACAATAATGCTTTTATTTTTGAACAAAATATAAATTTAAACATATCATAAAAATTTGAAAAAAGAAATATATCGATATTAGTATCAAATTTACTATATAAAGTTCTAGGATTTTGTGTAATTGATTTAATTCAATATTTTGTTTATGATTTAATTTAGATTCAATAACAAAATAATTTATTTATCATTTAATAATATAATTTTTATAAAGATAATACTTAAGTATTTTGTTATAACTAATGATATCCTAATTATATTTTAGATTTTTTATATTCAAAATGAAATATTTATCTCATATTTGATTATGTTTATCTATAGTTAGTTACACAAATTAAAAAAATAAAGCTTTAATAAACTGTTTGTGATCTTGAATTTCAAGTAATATGCATCTATAAACAATACTTTATGCATAAAAAATGATTTTTAAGAGTTTTTGTCAAATGCTTTATAATGAGGTATAGATTTATATGATATAAATAATATAAAAAATATATATTTATTAATAATTAACCTTTCCGTGTAAATATGAGGCTTGTTTTGTTTGTTGATTCACTTTTAACTACCGAAAAGATGGTTATGATTGCAAGAATTAAGACAAGATTGTCCAAAATTTCTAAACATGACGCAATCTGTTCAATCACTCCAACATTTAAGAACAAAGTCGCGAGATTCGGTTCAAAAAAGTCGAAGAGCAGAGTCGGAACACCATACAAGATTGAAAGCGATGTCCTTTTTCCTCTTTTAAGCTTCCCACAATTCAAACTTCCATTTCAATACTCCTCTCAAATCCATTGCAGCGTATACACAAAGAAACCAATTTTCTTTTCTTCTGTCAAATGTCAGATCACTCTCCAACTCCAATAGAACACGAATCGAAAGAAGAACCAACCCAAATCAAAACCCCTCTAATTCTCCACGATTCAGACCAAACCCAAAACCTAAATGAAGCAAATCAAGACGACAATGAAGAAGAAGAAGAAGAAGGAAGAACCCATCTTGATAAAAGCCTTCAAAGGTTGAACTTCTATTTATGTTTGTTGGGTTTCGATCAATCCTCGGTTATAAGATGTGTGATTTCTTGGGTAATGTTTTTGGTGATCGGGGTTGCGATTCCTGTGGTTGTACTTTTGCTGACCACCAACTGTTTGAGTTGTGATCTCTACCAAATCAACGGCTTTGAGCTTGTTATTGTTGCTTCACATGCTTGTTTGGCAGCTGTTGCTCTCCTTTGTCTTTCACATAATTTGAGGAAATATGGGATTCGAAAATTTCTATTTGTTGATCAGTATAGTGGCCATGTTGAAAGATTCTCAAAGGAGTATATTCAGAAGATTTCTGTAAGTAAATACCCAATTCCAGTACTTATATCTGTTCCATTTCCAGGTTCAAATGAGAGTAAATCTGATGAATATGTCGATTCTTTTGGGGCACAAAATATGGTTCTTTTGGTTTTCATGGTTCTTTAAGTCTTGTTTTGTTGTACAATTTAGTGTAACAAATCTTGAAATTGTATCTTATATAATCACAAACTTTGGTAGAAGACCAAATTGTCACTCCTAAGTCTCTGAATTAAGGAAATGTAAATGGGGTTTTTCTTTAGGTTTAAAGAAAGGGGATTCAAACTCATGATCTATAATATATTATCAGTAGTTTTCTTTGATCTTTTGGAATTTGGAGTATGCTTCAGAGCTATGATATTTTAGACAGGAAGTGGATGCAGTGATCTGATGTCTGTGTTTTTTCTTTTTGTGGAAATGGGTGATCTCAAGCTTCGCCAGACTAATCCCATGGCAAGTTGCGGCTGTAGGCTTCGCCCACCCACAACCCTTAGGTAAATCTCCTAGTGGCCACAAGCACATATGTAGATGGTAGGATTCGAACCTGGGTTGATTTTATAATTCTCTTGTCTTTGTCCACCATGCTACCACCCTTGTGGTTGTGATCTTATGTGTTCGCCTGGCAACCGGTTGAAGGGAACTATAACTGTGTACTTGATTGCCATGTAGATTGCAAGACTGGAATCCCAAATGTGAAAAAGTCTTAGTTTCGTTAGGAATAAGCTAGTTTTTTAGACAATAATTCATGTAGCGTTTTAGTAACCTCCAAGGGCCTTTGTCCACCTTCCTATTATTTTTTCAACATGTCTTTTTAGGTCATTTTACTTTGTCATCTAGCTTATCAACTAGTTTTTACCAAATATTACTAGCTTATTATCTAACAGTTAGATTATTAGCCAACAACTAACTTTTCAGCTAACAACTAGTTTGTCAAACATGATACTACATTTGTATTAAGGAATGAAGAGAGTAGATTGGTTAATGTTACATTCTAATGGCAATCGCTAACTAAAGAGACGTTCTCTTTACACAGGAATCTATACGCTTGCTAGTATTGTGGGTTCTGCCATGTATGATCTTGAAGATTGCACGGGAAATCATCAGTGTTACGTACATGCACCATCAATCGTGGTGGAAGTCTTCCAGTGTCCCTGTAGTTCTGACGTTGTCTTGGGCATACGTAAACACCATCTATTTATCATCCTGCCTCGTCTTCCATTTGGTCTGTATTTTGCAGATCATCCACTTTGATGATTATGGGAAACTTCTAGAAACAGAAACCGATGTTCTGGTATTCATAGAGGAGCATGCTCGTTTACGCCATGATCTTTCAAAGATAAGCCACAGGTTCCGAATCTATCTCATCCTCGTGTTCACCGTTGTCACATCCAGCCAGTTTGCAATGCTATTTCAAATCACGGAGTTCAGTGACAAAGTAACTTTCATAAATGGAGGTGATTTTGCGGTAAGTGGCACAATACCCTAAACCCTAAACCCTGAATTGTGTTATGAAGTTGCATATATCTGTGTGTTTGTAGGTATCCTCAATTGCGCAGGTGGTGGGGCTGATTCTGTGTTTGAATGCTGCTGCAAAGATTTCCCACCGAGCTCAAGGCATTGCAGCACTGGCGACTAGATGGCATGCTTTAGCTTCATGTGGTCCAGATGATATGTCTCATATGAGACTTTCGAATAGAGCGATGAGCACGGTGTCTTCAGAAAGCGATTTGGAAGCAATGAACTATATTCCACTTCCTACAAACACACAATTGGCTTCTTATTTGTCTTCATACCACAGAAGACAAGCATTTGGTGAGCAAATCTCTTGTTGCATACTTGTACTTTAAACAGTTTAACCTGGTCTCCCCCGGTCATAGTTGGTTCCAAGGTGGCATATATGCACGAACAGTTAAGGGTTCGAGTCTGACAGCTGCAGAATGGATATTACAATTCCTTTGGGGATTGGGCTCCTTGTGAGCACTAGCCATCTAATAGGTGGTTGTGTATCTGATTTGCTGCCTCTTGGGCTAGGATGGTGTGGGCCAGTTACAAACCCTTTTGCACATACAGTAACTTGGTTGTATAGTGATTAAAACTGTCCAATGTCCGACTCAAACTTTCAAATGATCACCTAATTTATGGTTTGATTTGTTCTAAAGTCGAGAATTTTGATGGATGGTTGTGCAGTGATGTATCTGCAGAATAATCCTGGAGGGATTACTTTGTACGGTTGGACCGTGGACCGTGGTTTGATAAACACGATCTTCTTTATCGAGCTATCGCTGGTTCTCTTTGTGCTGGGCAGGACTACGGTTTTCACAAGTGAGAGTTTGCCCTAATGTTTCCCTTCCACGATTACTCCTTTCAAGATTTATAGACACTCCCACGCAAGTTCTTGGTATGCAACTTACTGCGGCTTATTTTTTCCATTCAAAAAATTCAAATGAGAACCATAAATATTTTAACAATCTGGGAACCGACTATTATTTATAATGAATAATCATGAATATCATGGCTTTTTCTAGTACATTGTCATCATGAAAATCATCATCTTCATTATGAATATTTTCATCATGAATATCCATTATGACATTCATAATGAATAAAGTAAGAATAGCATGTTTTCAGTTTCCCAAAATATTTATGGTTTTCATCGTGAAAATAAATGAAGATTTGATTGAGAGTGAAGGACCAACGAAATGAAATGAAATGAAGAATGGAGGGTGATGATGGATGGCACCAGAACGTTACAAGGTTCCATAGAATCGTTGACTTTGACTAGTGACTAACTGATTGTAACATCGTTGACTTAAAATTTTGTTTCAACTGATGGATAGATGTAAAATACAAGTTGAAGATGCTTTTGGCTTTTTAACTGAGCCGGCGGCCTTAAGCTCATTTGGATTGTGAAAAAAGCATGCAATTTACGAGCCGGCTCACGATGGCAGCTGAGCTTTGTCATTGTAGTGATTGTAATGTAAAAGCATAAACTATTATATCCTTCAAAGTCTTCAATTTTGCTTATGAATGACAAACAATTTTATTCTATTCGTAATCCATATTCCGGTTGACCAATTCACGCTTGGAATGAGAGAACAGACTGAGAGAGACCGCAGGAAAGGAGGTTCAAATGGTGTGAAACGTTGTGTCATGGCTAAAAGTTCAAGCCTTAAGTCTTACACGCCACGACAAGAACACAACATTTTTTTAAGACAATAAATTTATATGTCATATATACATATTCTATTTTTTATACATGAAGTACTACTTATTGATGCATATTACTTAAAATTCAAGATTACAAGTAATTATGCATAAATACAACTTATTAAGCTCCATGTTTGAATTCGTATAACTAACTATAGATAAATATAATCAAATACATGATAAATTTTTTATTTTAAATATAAAAAATCTAAAATATAATTAGAATAATCACTGTATTATAACAGAATACTTAATTATTATATTTCTAAAAAGTTATATTATTAAACGAAAAATAAATTACTTCGTTATCAAACATAAATTAAATTATAATAAAAACAAATATTGAATTAAATAAATTACACAACAAAACAAGAATTTTTAAATAGTCAATTTGATACTAATATCGACATATATTTTTCTAAATTTTAAGATATCTTCAAATTTATATTTAATTCAAAAATAAAAAAATTATCGTTTTTCTTAAAACCACATAAAACCGTATTATAATATCAACAAAGGACAGAATAAAACGAAACATTAAAATCGAGATGTATCTCGCTGCATTACACGAGTACTCTTTTAGTATATATAAATACACACACGCGTATGTTTTCTAATTATTATTCAATAATATAATGATATTAATTTTTTTTTCCGTTCATATTAGAAGAGAAATCATATGTATTAACTAGTATTATATAAAAATTTATGATCAAATATTCAAAATAGATTTTAAAAGAGTTTTACAACTTCGTTTTAATCGGGGTCTGACATGTTTGAATCCAAAAAACTTTTATGATTACCTAAGCTTTGTAAAAATACAAGATTTAAAGTTAAAAAGTGTAAAAACACAAATGTTAACTTTTTAAAAAAAAAAGACAAACTCCTTGGAATGAACCACACCTTACACAAACTGTACAGGTTTTATAGTAACGGCAAAGACACGTATGGCACACGGTGCTCCTTTTTGAACACTGATAAAAAGACATCCTTTTCTAGTGGTAATACTCCTCCATCCAACTAGTTACGATGGAATTTGCAATAGGCTTTGCATCCATGATCTAATCATATACATTATTACATTTACATGATGTAGCAGCTTCTCAATTTCAGAGCTTTGCTCCTCCAGAATGTAGCTTCTGCTACAAATGACCAAAACCAGGTCATAGGATTCACCAAAATACAGCAAAAAAAAAATTCATAACAGAAACCAAGCTTCATTTAAAGCTGCTGTTCATCCCAACTTAAGTTCATGTTAATTTTCCCAACCTTCAATGCACTAGGTATTCCAGTGGTGCACAGATTCTTGAACTAGCATGGCCAGTAAATCGATACATGTTTAAGTTCAGAGGATGAAATGTCCAGTCAATGACTTGTTTTAACTCTGGATTAAGATGCTCTAAATTTAACAGTTTTGCGGCAAAAATGTACTTCATGTGCTAAATATATATCATTTAGGAACTGTTTACCAACCACTAACCGGACAAGCACTTAAAGGAATTGGAATCCATTAAAGGAATTCAACTTCGAAAGAATGAGTGGAATTTGACCACGTGTTTGGTTAGTAGGAATTGGAATAGAATCTCTCAAAAGTATTGGAATCTCCATATTTGATAGGGGAAAGGGTGGGGTTGGTAACTGTGATAACAACAGTAGTGGCATCATGGCACCTCACGCGCACATTCTGCCACCCATTCCCACCCCAACCCATACCCTGCCACCCCACACCATCCTTGCCACTGCCACTGCCACCCTCCACACTTGACGACAGTAGTGGCATGGTGGTCTGTGGAGTGGGTGGGTGGCGAGGTGGTAGTTGTAATGACAACAGTACTGGGATGGTGGTCGAGTGGTGAGGTGGAGGCGCTAGGCGGGGTGGTTGTGGGGGGCGTGACGATGACAGTTGTATGGTGGTTAGTGGTGTGGTGGGGTGGGGGTGGGGGTGGGTGGCGGTTGTGACGGCGAGAGTAGTGGTGTGGTTGTGGTGGGGTCAAGAGTGGGGGCATGACAGTGATAATAATGGCATGATGGCACCTCACGCACACATATTGCCACCCATTCCCACCCCTATCCCCTGCCACCCGCCCATCCCAACCCATACCCTGCCACCGCCACCCTCCACACTCGACGACAGTAGTGGCATGGTGGTCTATAGGGTGGGTGGTGGGGTGGTAGCTGTAACGACAACAATAGTGGGATGTTGGTCGAGTGGTGAGGTGGGGGCGCTAGGCGGGGTGGTGGTGGGTTAGGATGGTCGTTGTGACGATGACAGTAGTTACATGGTGGTTAGTGGTGGGGTGGGTGGCGGTTGTGATAGCGACAGTAGTGGTGTGGTGGTGGTAGGGTTAGGAGTAGGGGTGTGACAGTAACAATAGTAGCATGGTGTCGAAGGTGGACGTTGTTGGTTAATTGGACGCACAAAGATGGAATTCGATTCCTTCACTTATGCCATAGAATGATGAATTCATTAATCTATGGAATTCAAAGGATTCCTATATTTTCATTATGTGAACCAAACAGCCCCCTAAGAATGCTACTGACCATGCCATTTTGATGACCGACAATCTTACCTGGTAAATAAGTGAGAATGGCGACTCTTCCGGTTAGCGTTGGTAAACAGTCCCTTAAACTACCAATTAACGCAACTATAATCTACACATTTAGCCCTTTTAACTGTAGGCAGATGTTTATGTAAACTCTGCAACTCATCTTGAAGAAAAATTGTTTACCATATACTTCAGTAAACACAGAGCAAATTTCCTGAACTAACAGAACAGAGAAAGCCCTTTCGCAAGGTGAAGGCACAACCTAATCAAATCAGTTGTTGAAAGTCGAACCAGCAATTGCATATATCAATGAGAAATTGTAGTGCTACACTGCTACATACAATTGCACGTCAGTTGCAACGATATCAAGTTAATGCTGGACATATATAGTGGGGCATATGTTATATCTTAAGTTTAAAGCATGTTCCTGATAGGGATTAACAAAAAAAACAAGTTTTTTTATAATATAATGAAGCACTATATAAACTTCTCGTTAGATTTTGATGCATGTATGGATCATGTGTTTCCTAAAGCTAGAGAGTAGAACACATTGTTTTAATTCAGAACAGCACCTTTGTATTTTTTTTTTACCAATTAATATGAATTCATGCTTCAGAACATGAGATCCCTAAGTAACATACGTGTTCTTGTTATAAAAATTGTCCCTCTACAAATTTCATGATTTAAGAGAGACCAGTGTTTCAGATGCAGGTAGAAATCATGTCATTCCTAAAAACTAAGAAGCTTCCGGCAGGTAAAGATGAAAATGTAGTCAAGTAGATCATACACATTTTCCACGTTAATAGATACATCGATAAGAATGGATGAACAAAAAGTACCTGAAGAATGGAAAATTAAATGGAAATTTTACAAGATTCTGGATGCACAGGTAACCTCCTCACTTTGATACTGCAGCGAGATTTGCAGATAGATGTCAAAAAAATCAAGGATGCTGAAACTTTGCATACTTGACCAGAAATTTAAAAACAAATAGATAGAGCAGATCTTTGATGCTGTCGTGAACAGGAATGCTGTGCAAAATCAATCAAGGGAAACAAAACTGAAACAATCATGCTACCATCTCTTACAAATCCCAACCACACCCTTTTCAATGGAGGACGGGTCATTTGGATTAAAAGCATATTACTTCTATGTAACAAGGTGCTTTGACATTTTCCTGGAAATAGTACCCACTCCATTGCATAATAGCATTTCCTTTCTTAATATGAAACTTCAAGCCTAGTTCTCAAAATGCAAAATTTGACAATAATGATGTCCGTTTATTGGTTTCAAAACTTCTGTACATTTAAATGCTTAAAAGCCAAAAGTAGACTCCAGTTTTAGAACAAATATAGCAGAGAAGCTACATACTTGTGGAAGGTCGAGTCCAACAACTGCTACTAACAAAAAGCGCATGCATCATTATTTTATGGGGTATCTAAATTTGTTCTACTTAAAAGTCATTTCTGCCGAGACATTAATCATCCCGCGCTCTGCCTCAATAAACAGAAACAATTCCGGTGCAAAGCACTAGCTGTGTTAGAGTGGTAGTCTTAGAAGACAAATGTGAGCTGGCAAGAACAAAAAGAGGACGGGTCTTGGTCATCTTGGCATCCATGGGAATCCCTATATAATACCCCTTTTATCGTCCCTAATTGCAGTTGAAGAAATCATATTCTACAAGAAACATCAAATCTGATCCCCTTCAAACACTACCATCACAATCCTTTTATAGATTCTACAGCAGTAGCCAAATCAATAAATGTGCCCTCAAAGCAATTTAAGAAATTTATGGATCATGGAGAGCTTCCACATATAGAGAGTAGTAGTCCAGGTGAACATTATTCGTTTGGCCAGATCAAAAATGTTGAAGCAAGTTATTTGGTTAAAGCAGTTCCAACATCTTCGAAGACCCTAATGGTAAACAAATAAATTCAATTATCGCAGGAATGAAACAATCAAACACATCCTGATGGTTGGATTATACATGCATTATATAGCTTTGTACCAAGCCTACTGGGATTCGTCACATAGCTGGTACATAAAGGGAAAGAGCAAAGCAACTACTACTGGACTAGGGTATGGAACATTTTATTGAACATGAACAATAATATCCTTCAATTACCTTCACCACAAAAATTCATGACTCATGAGAGAAGATGACTTGTGCAAAAATAGAACTAAAAATTCGAAACTCATTTGACACATACCAACATGCATATATTAGATATAACGTATTACAAAAGTAATATCCATGCTACAAAACTATAATATGCTGCTATAATCACATTGGGATTGACCCAAAGGAAAAAAAAGGTACTGATCCTTGACAGCATTACAAGTATATTAGATATAACGTATTACCTTCAAACTGCATAACTTTCTGTTAAATACTCCATCAATGACAAGCAAACAATGCCTCTCCATGCTACACCAACCACCTCTTGCAAACACAATACGAAGATTAAGAAAGATGAAAGTAATAGCAAAAACAACCCTTCTGATATTAAAATCTAAATTTATGAATTGCTTACAATACACGAATTAAGAAGTTGTTACATAGACAATTCCTAACAGTAAATTTCCCCAAAAAGCAAAGTCATCGCTCCACACCTTGCAAGTCAACCTGGCTATGTATCAGGTCAGGAAGCAGAAGCAAAAATATCTCCGCGCCCAGATCATGAAGGGTGCCTACTAAAAGCAGCATGAGTGATGATCACCTCACTGCAAATGTTGCCAATTCCTTCCGCTACATGGGCTTTCACCTCGACAATGTCATTTTTAGTACTGCACAAAACTAAATCAGAGAGAAAAAAGCTTTGTAGCATCCTTTATCTTAGCCAAACAAACCACCTGTCCCTAATTTGGCTTGCTGCAATTCCGTCCGACGCTGCTCCTCCAAGGGATCAGGACTCTTCATTACCCTACGTGTACGCCTGAAATAAGTGGGTAATATTGATTAGATTCAGGAACAGGCTTGACTAATTATCAGATGTTCAGAAATGAACAGCTATGATACCTGTCCTGTGCATGATGAGCAGGAAAAGTGGGCATAAAATCTTTGGACTTGGGAAGAGGGACTTCACGAAACCACTCATGTTCAAGAGCCACTTCCGCTGTTATCCGCTGCAAATATTCCAGAATCCCCATAAAATTATTCACAATGGATACTACTACAGAGAAGTGAAACTTTTTCACCATAGAAAGTCATTCAATTACAAAATTATACCTTTTCAGGGTCGTAAGTTAGAAGTTTGTTCAGCAAGTCAAACCCAGCATCAGATAGAACCGGTGATCCGGTGAAAGATGTTGCAGGGAATTTTCTACGTAATAAATTATACCTGAGGAGAATACAAGATTGTCAATAAAACCAAGAACTACTTGCAACATAACTGAATCTGTCACCAATGGAGGCCAGAAAGCCAGACCAGAAAATCACCCAAAGCTGGAAGCCTGGGAAAACAGTGGCAAACAAGAAAATGTGAACCTCATATTCAACATAAAAACTTTTCAATATAAGAAATTGAACACTTACTGGTGCTTGACAAAGTTCAACTTCACTCCAGGAAGTTTAGAAAACCCAGGCCAAATAGCCTCATTTGGTGTGCCAAGGGTTTTGAAAATCTGCAATAGTAGAGACAATTTAATACTACGAAGTCAGCAGCAGCAACAAAAGAACAAAAAAAAAGGATAATAAAGCAGATTATTACCCAAAAGAGCATCCTATCATTACCAATTTGTCAATTTGACAAAAAATTATAATTTAGCCAACTTGATAAATATAAATCCCTGCATCATGCCTCCATGGATATTCATAAACAGGTTGGAAAAATATGCAATCACAAATGGCCAACTTTTTCCTGGTTAACACCTCCTTGAGAGTTCATGGTTTTCTTCTCTAGAATTAACATGGTTATATGAGTGACATACAAACTTGAAAGCGGTGACAACTTGAAGTTGAATATTTGACTTATACAGGATTTTAGGGATCAAACAATTGTCCAAATTTATACATCCTGCCTAGAGGTTGAAGTTTTTTTCTCTAGAACTAACATGGTTATACAAGTAGCAGAAAAAGTTCGGAGCAAGAAGAACTTGAATCTTTGACTTGGTGAGAATTTACATGATTTGAGGACTTTGAACAATTATCCACATTAATTGAACAGTTTTTCTGTCATCAATTGCTCTGCAACTGCAAACAGTCCCTCTTCAGAGAAACTTTAAAGTCTAATTCTGAAAACTCAGATCCTAGGTTTATTATGTTCAATTGATGAAACTGAGATGTGATTTGTATGAGGGTAACAGTTTGCTTGTATGATGAAATTGATGGCGATGGTGAGGTTTGATTGTCAATGGTTACCAACCAGAAATTACAATCGGTCAAGATTATATTGATATAACCATGGTTTTAGAAAAAGCCAGAGGCGTACGCCATGAGGCGCGCCTCAGGGCGGTTCGGTCCAAAAGAGAATATGAGGCGCCGCCTCAGGGTATCCTGTAGGGATGTGCGCCTTGGTGGTGTGAGGCAGTCGCTGATGCGACGAGCTAGTGCCAAGGCGTACGTTTCTTTCTCTATAGAGAATCTCACGTTTTCTGTAAGGAAATAACTGAAAATTAGAGAACCCTAAATACTATAAGGAAACCCATTGGCCTCTTTCCTGTGTAGCCCAACCCCGATTTCTTTTCTTTTGACTAAAACTTCTCCCAAAAAGTCAATCGATCAACAAAACAAAGCTTTATACTATTGTCGACTTCTCCTCCTCTCTGGCTCTCTCCTCTGTATTGCTTCATATCTCTCCAACTGCTTGTACTGTTGGTTGCAGCAATTTCTCCTCTTTTCTTTTGTAAGCATATTTAAGCTTCTGCATATTTTTATGTAGTATCAATATGTATATTTCCGTAAGAATCTGTATGTGTATTTTTACATGGTAATCTGCATGTTCTTTTATGTGTATAGCTTCTTTTCTTTATAATCTGTTTATATATATATATATATATATACAGAGAGCGAGAGGGGGGGTGGATCAAACGAGAACGGTACCTATTTAAAAGAACAAAAAAAATGGGAAAATCACATGTGATTTTACACTAACATCACATACAAAATCACATGTGATTCAGGCGATCTTACCCAGCGACCTGAAGATGCAGCCACAACCCAGACACTTTTTTTGACCATTAACGTAAAATCCGTTTTCATGTTCTTTTAAATAGGTACCGTTCTAGTTTGATCTCGCCTATATATATATATATATATATATATATATATATTCTGATAATGTACATATACTGTTTTTATGTACATATTCTGTTTTTCATGTATATAAGTTGTTTTTATGTACATATTCTGTTTTTTATGTATAATCTGCTTTAATGTATATAGTATATATTTTTTTTTTTTACGTTTTTCTGTTAAGTGTTATGGATTTATGAATTTTGCTGTTTTACTTTTTGGGGCTTACGCCTCGACCGCCTCGAGGCTTACGCCTCACGTACCTAAGGGGAAACGCCTCGAGGCTCATTTCCGTTCTTTAAAACCTTAGATATAACCATTCTTAGGAGCTATTTGGTTGTGGCTTAACGGGCTGTATAACTATATGGCTTATTCGTTCAGCCATAAGCGGTTGTTTGGTTATGGCTTAATCTAGAATCAATAGCTTATTCGGTCAGCTAGAGGAAGGCTCTTCTTTACATTCAGCCGGCCCTTTTCCCTCACTGCCCTTGAAAAAAGCAAGCATCCTCCTCCTCTTGCCCTCACCATCGTCCTCCTCCATAGATCTACCACTGCTCCTCCTCTTGCCCTCTTCATCTCTGGTGATGAAACGACCCTCGATCTGTTGATGAAATGACCCTCAACCCTCTCAAATCGACCCTATGGTTTTCGGTTTCTCCCCATGGTCTTCGATTTCACCCTATGGTTTTGTATTTCTCCCTATGGTTTTCAATTTACTTGTTCTGATCAGATGTGGTTTCTCCATATCGTTCTCCTATAATTTATTTGTTGTTGGTTTCTTCATATTGATCAGATGTGTTTTCGATTTCTCCCTATGGTTTTTTGGTTTTCCATTGAATGTTAACATGTTGCTGTGAATCCAGGAGAAATCGATTGATTTAATCTATTGGTCTGGTTATAGAGAAGAAATTGACTGGTTTGGTGGTTGAATTGATGGAACTGGATGTTCAATGTAAACAAAGAGTAAAATAATCATTGTCACCGTTCTGACCGTTTATTCAGCATAACAACCAAACAGCAACTTATCAAACATCATACAAACAGATTTAACACTATAGGCAACTTTATTCATACAAGACTTAATGGAAAACGAACCGAACAGCCCCTTACTGAGCTTGAGAGAGGAGGGTGGTCACTAGAGAATGAATACATTACAGCTTGGCATGCCACATAATTTATGTGGTCATTCAAGTGAGTGGAGTGTTGAATTGGAGAATCAATGGTGAAATGTTCGCGACTCCATACCACGCAAAATGCTACCATGGACCCTTTACACTTGTGTTTTTTGGAACAGTCAATAATCTGTTACATTTATATCTCTAACGAGACACGAACTCAGAACCCAAAGGTTGTAGAGATCCACTAATACGATTGGGCCAAAGGCCAGTTGGTCCCCTACACGCCTACTATTATAATTATTATTTACCAAATATCAAAATACACTTGCATTTCACCTGCATATTCAAATAATAAGCTCCTATAGAGGAAAATAAACCACAATTACCATTGAGGAAAATAGGTAATTTCACCTTTAGACTTTCGAAATTTAAAATGCTTCACTTCTTACAGGACATCCCAAAAGAAAATATTGCATTTATATTAGAACCAAAGAAGAATAAGAAGTTTTGTTGCATACAGAGAGTGTTGCTGATTCAGTAAATATGTTTCACAAGCTATATAAGTTAGACTTACCTTGTCAAGCTGATCAAACTCTGTTTTTCCGTTGAACAAAGGTTGCTTTGATAACAATTCAGCCATGATACAACCCAATGACCACATGTCAATTGCAGTAGAATACTGTTTTGCTCCCAACAAAAGTTCCGGTGCCCTAAAAGAGTAAAACCACCCAAATAAGATTAGCATGGCAAACATATAACACAAAGACGTCTAATAAGACCAACCATCTCAAGGTAGCTATTCTAAAAAATCAGACAACTCTTATCTAACACAATCATCGCAACTCGACAAATTCCAATAATCTATAAAGTGTAATCTTGAGTAGGGGTGTAAGTGAGTCGAGCTTTTAACAAGTTCCTCAAGCTCGAGTCAATCTCGAACACAAAATAGAACTCGCTTAACTTAACAAGTCGAGCTTCATAACACCAATGTTCGACTCGGCTTTTGAAAACTCGATTAAACTTTTCGAGTCGAGTAGTGCCGAGCCGAGCCATTCGAGCAAACATTTTTTTGAGCCAAACATGCTCATATGTTCATAAATCATACAAGAAAAATATAAAAATTATCAACCTCGAGCCTATAGATGAGTTAATCGATCATGACTTCGAGCCCACAAACGAGCATCTAGCTCAATAACTCAAAATATTCGAGCTTTAGCTCGAGCTCGAGCCCTAAATTGAAAAAGTTATTTGAGCTTGAGTCGAGCTTGAGCCTAGTATTTGTTTTCAAGCCCGACTCGAATAACCTACTACTCGACTCAACTCGGCTCGTTTACGCCCCTAATCTTGAGTAATGCAAATCAAGAACAACACAATCAAAGAATTTGCCACCAAGTAAAATACTTGGAACAAGCAATGGTAAAAGTACACCGTATAGACAAAATCCAATAGTTTTAAAATAAGAATGTATTTGTGGAAGCTGATAAGGGCTGATGAAGTAGCAACAAGAAAAATCAACATTTAAACAATATGATATGGAACACGTGAAAATTCACCAAATACTGATGCTGACCTGTACCAAAGAGTCACCACCAAATGAGTGTAGGGTTTTAAAGGGCTTCCGTATTGACGAGATAATCCAAAGTCACAAATCTTTAACTCACCACGATTATTTAGGAGTAAATTTGATGTCTTCAAATCTCGGTGAAGAACCCAATTGTCATGGAGATACTTTGTTCCCTCTAAAAGCTGGAGCATAAGGCATTTAACTTCACTTTGACTAAAAGGTTGTTTCATTGTCTCCATCAATGCCTTAAGATCATGTTCCATGTATTCCATCACCATAAAAATGCTGTCAAGATTACTGCCAACCACCACTTCCTTCACATCTACCACTGAAGGGTGATGAAATGAAAGAAGGATATTTATTTCCCTCAATGAAGTCAAAGGAAATCCTTCTCTTTCTTTCTCCATCTTCACCTTTTTTAAAGCAACAACTTCTCCACTTTTTTTATCTTTGGCCCTGTAGACAACCCCATAAGTGCCTTCATCTATCTTGTTCAATCTCTCAAACTCATCAACACTTCTACAACCTTGTAGCATATTTACACTTCTTTGAGGAGGGAGAGCAGTCTGTGGTGTACCACAAGAGCCATCTTCGCTCTCGGAATCGGTATATGACTGGCTGACACTAGGGCGACCACTACTGTGATCCTCATCTATCTCCATGTAGTCCTTCCTTGCCAACTCCTTCTCCGAGTAGTCATCACTACTTGAAGCCCTAATATGATACCCATTTTCATAGGACTCAGATGATCGTGTTCTAGTTCCTTCAGAGCCTTCCCTGTGAAGCTCCCCAATCTCTGGGCTCAATGACTTCTTTTCCGATCCAAGATGATCAGATCCAGAAGGAATTTTTTGCCTCTTCTGAATCCTGTGGTTGCCCAATGCATCAGAAACTTCACCTTCATCGGCTGGAGAATTGACATCATTTGCCCATCGAGATGATCTTATATTGTGCGCAGGCGCATAATCCTCATCTTCTGGTTGCCCTGCATTCTGAACATAGACAAGACGCTCTTCCTGGGCAGGTAAAGAAGATAAGTCCACATGCTCTCTCTGAAGTGGGGAAGAAGATAGACCAGCATGCGCAAAACCATAAGACTCATGTGTCCCAATATCAACAGGGGTATTACCTGGAGATTGCTCAGCAGTCTGAAGCTTGTCCTTTTCTAGGGTGGAAATCTGTACAACAGCTGGAGGAACAGGATCAGGCGATTGCCGATGAGACTTGGGCACCGGTGGCATAGCAACAGTAGTATTTGCTGTAGAAAACCTACTCTTAGATATATTACCCACTTCCTTGTCATCTCTATCCCAGACAATAGGTGAGAACTTCCTCTTCTTGATCGGAGAATGAGAATGAGAACGGGCAGCTTCCTCTATCCTAGAACCCTTATCATTTTTACCATGTATTTCCAAATCAACGGCCTCATCAGACCCACTGTCACTAGACAACTCCCCAGGTTCCCGATCCCTGACTCTAACAGGGTATTCACGATGCCTCAAACCTCCATCACCACCACTACCTCCTGAATCACTCCTACTAGAAGCAGACTGATAACCCCCACCGGTCACCAACTCTCTTTCTTTGACATCCCTCTGTCTAACTCTACCCCTGTCTTTGCCATCACGAGCCCTGTTCCTACCCCTCTCATAATCTTGACTGCCACCATTCTTTAAGCGTTCATACTCATCTCTAGAATAAGGAATTTCCCTCTTGGATGCATCAAAATCAGCCTCATTCTCCCTAAATTCATTGTAGTAACCCCCATGCCTTCCTGCGGCCATAGATTCGTTTATATACAAAACAAGACACAAATCACTGATTTCTAAAACCCTAACCCCAAACGCTTTACTATAAACGAACAGACCGATACGTAATTCTAAATCGAACCAGTCACAGATCGGGAAATAATAGTATATGGATCAAACAAAATCAGAATAATCAATGTTTGTAATCCAATCTAGTATGTCACTCTTCTCTTAATGGCTATGAATCGTGAAACCCTAGAAATCAGAATAATACGATAACGTATAAAAAGAGAAAACAAAAACCTTGAAGCTTCTCACATAAAGTAGTGGGCGTCGGTCTCTCTCACACAAAACTGGAAAGCAGGTCACCGGCGGCGAGGATTAATAAACAGCGGCGGTAATTGGTGTTTGTAGGAAAAGATTTTAGAAGGAGAAAGTTAAGACAAGAAATGGAAAGGTGTATCGGAGTGCGGCGATATTCCCATTCTGTATACGGGTAACGATTGAGATGTTTGATCCAGATGTGACGGATATTGGCTGCTCACTAAATTAATTCTTATTATTTTTAATTATAAAATCTATATTTTTTAAAATAATTAAAATCATGCTTATAATTCTTTTATTAAATTATGAATAATTACTAAGGGGCCGTTTATCAAACACTTATCCAATAAGTGTTACCGGTAAAATTTAACATTATTATTTATTTACATGGTAAGATTTTAGTCCATCAAAACGACATCGTATGTAACAATTTATCCGGTAAGTGCTTACCGTGGTAAGAGTCGTCACCCTTACTTACAGGATAAGACTTATGTTACTTGTCTCGCTCTTACCGGATAAGATTCTTGGTCCTTACAATATTCATCCGGTGAGGTAATGTTACTTGATAAACGCTTACCCGAATAAGCGTTTGGTAAGCGGCTCCCAAATTTATATATAGCTTAGTAATTGGGACCATCATTTGAGAATTTAGCAATTTATAAGATCCGTAGAATCCAATATAAATCATAAATCATATTAAATTAAAGGTTAAATTAGGAACCCAATATATGATGCAAATTATAGTTGAAGAACACGAAGATGACAGATTGGCAAATTTAATAGATTCTTGACAATTAAATATCTATAAATTAAAATATAAAATCATAACAAATTGATGTTAGCATATATACATGCCACAATGTGACTTCATGAATGGTAAAATCGTCATTTCATAAATTTTAGTTGATATAACTCTAAACTCATCTTTTGTTTAATGAATTACATAATATATCATAAATCTTTGTAATTACTCATCATGTCTTTATATATTTATGTCACGTAATTAGTATTTTATAATCCAAACACCTTGCTTGTATCTTGATATAAAGTAAAAATTGGCTATACGTACGCATTTGTGACAAGTGAGACAACATTTTTGATGTGTTGGAATGACTTTTGTTATTGATTTTAGTGAAATTGTCTGTTCATTTTGTATAATTAGATTTATAAAAGAATATGAAGCCTTCGGTTAAACTATAACACGGACTAGGGGATGTGGAGTGCACACCCATATACGATAACTAGAATCTGGGATCCATGAATAGTGATATATGACAGAGGTCAAGGGGCTGCACCCTCTTGCAGCGTCCCAGTATCACCCTCAATTGTCGGGTAAACTGGTTTGACGAAGAAGCTCTTCTTCATTCTAAACAATAGCCATAATCATTTTGACATATGATAGATAACCGGATGCGTTGTTTTTTAATCAAATTCGAAATAAATTTTGTCAAATTGATCGAGCTTTTACGGTTATTTATAAAATTGAAGAATGAAGCAAAATGTTTGTCTAATAATTACTATGGTGGCTGAAATGCTATAGAATCTATTGTGATGGATGCATCTATGAGCCTTATCATAGAGAACCATAACCAGCATAGGTCAAGCAAGAGCCCATGAGATCAAGTGAACAACTACTGCTGTAACGCAGCCCAACAACCCACCAGCCACCACCTGCACAACATAAAATCAAGAAATATCCTTATATGACTCAAATCCAAGGGTCAGGGTGCTGAATTATAAAGCTCAAATGTTATTCAAATAACCAAACCAAACTAAACGAGTCTAGTATATTCAATCTGAAGGTGGGATATGGGAGGGGTAAGATGTGCGCAGAGCTAATCTAAATCGAGAATGTTTCCATTAAAACCCCTGACTTGTGAAAAGTATGTAAAAGAGAGAGAAGCATAAGATAAATTTTGAAAATCTCGTTATAAGTAAACATTAATATACAAAGTATAGGTACGTAAAAGAAAAACATAATGAAATCAAAGGGTCATTGGCTCAAGCTGAACGGTACCCAGGTTACTGAAAGGGCCCGGCTTCCCTGGTCAAGGGTTCAACCCTCAGTGAGGAGTGTGCATGACTATTTGCCGTATATAAATATTATGTACTAAAAAAAACAAAGAAACCATGCACTCTTAGGGACCGTTTACCCAATGCTTACCCAGTAAGCGCTTATAGGTAGAGTCAACACTTTCACTTAACTTACCGGGTAAGATTTTAGTCCATTAAGACTACATCATATGCAACTTTTTTATCCGGTAAGTGCTTACCAGGTAAGAGTCGTCATTCTCACTTATCGGGTAAGACTCTCGGTCCTTGTCATCGCTCTTATAGGATAAGATTCTCAATCTTTATCATGTTCATCCGATAAGGTAAAGTGACCTGATAAGCACTTACCAAGTAAGCGTTTAGTAAACTGCACCATGGCTTTGGTAACCTAACTAACGACTCCCGCACCCTCTAAACAGGATGGGGATCATATACAAACTCTCAAAGAGAGAGAGAGAGAACATTCTCTAGGATCTTCCAACTTGATTGCTGGAGCCCATTCCCTGAACTAACGCCCTGGGATGCTCTAACAACTCTCCGTTTTTCTTGAGTGTTATCGGGTTCATGCGATTCAGATCCAAGAAGATCGACAATGGATTTTGGTAGCATCATCATCAGTATGGAGAGTTTAGAAATGGGGACTTGACGGTTTACACCTCTAACGATTTAACATTTTCTTGATATTAATGCTTTTGAGCAAAAAAACTCATTTGATGATGAAGAAAACACAAGCAAAGTGATCAATCAGGCAAACAGTTTTCAAAAATACCGAAGGTTCTTGAAGTTAAAAGACTTGAAGAAGTAAATGCATGAAAACATACTTGAGGAGGCGTGTGGCCAAGAAGTTCACGTAGTGGTCTGCTTTGAGCCAAGGGGTGTTCAGCAGGAAGTTCGTAAACGATTTGATTCAGAACCTGGAAATTAGTAATTTCAGATTAGAGGAATGGTCTGGACAAGAACAGTCATCTTATTGACGTGAGTACGTGAGATGGGCATGCCAACACACAGGGGAAAGGGGGTGATCAAACCTCTGCTTGGCGTCCAGCATGCAATCGTACCCCAGTTGCATCATACATTACCTATCACAAGATAAATCATAAGAATTTACAAGTTGTCGCAGCATCATTCACACGAGTGAATAAAAAGGTTATGGGAGTTCAAAACTGTAAAAATAGGTGGAACCCCGTTAAATTACTTTCCCAAAGAGCCCTTGAGGAGGGAAGGGAGGTTTCAACATACATTGAGGATAAATGGTTCAATTATAGCTGATGTGGGATACATGCACCATTAAGGGCTGTTTGGTTTGGTTTTCCATTAGTTATGTATGTATAAAGCTGTCTGTATGGATTAATATGTCTATATAGATTGGGAAGGTTTTTGTTTAGGAAAGTTTTTTCATAGATGGAAGGAATAGGTTTTTTAACAGGGAGGGACATGTTCGGAAAAAACTTGGCTTTCTGCATAAAGCCCCCCTAGAAGCTTACTTAATAAGCCGCTTTCTATGTCATTAAGCCACTACCAAACAGTCATGTATAGCTGACCAAATAAGCTGTGAGTCCTATTAAACTCATTAAGCTGCTAACAAACAGACCCTTAGAAAGAATAAACCAATCACATGGGGGTAAACACAAAACTAAATAAACAAAAACAATTAAAGGACATATTCTCTTGCATCTTAAACCTAAAGCTATGTTCCAATTGTGCATAGTAAAAGGAACAGTAATATCGCTTTTGTGATGATAGTACTTCTAGATTCTAAACTGTTTATTTATTTTACAAGATGCATCATAAACAACAGCAGACGATGAAAGAAACTTCATATGAATGTATAAGAGAGAGAGATCATACGACACAAGCTAATATCAGGGCAGTGGCAAATGTAGAACCAGCAGCACCATCTTGTAAACCAACAGCAACGGCAAGAGCAGTCACAGTAGCGGAATGTGATGATGGCATGCCGCCTGATCCCACAAGTTGCTTAAGATCCCAACGCTTTTCCCTATACCTGCATGTCTACAACAGTTATATGATTCTTAGGATGTAACAATACTAATAATTGGTAGTAAGTAATGCAGCGACAGTAGACACAGAGACAAACAATCAATCAAAGAAATAAAGAATGATTATCTTTCTGAAACATCTTATGACTTTTTATTGCAACAACCCGTTGTTCTTGACTTGTGAAAATATAAAAACACCACACTTTGCAATAATGATGATTTTGGACAAAAAGTACAAAACTAAGATGGTATATTTTGCATTTATGTTCCCACAAATATGTCCAAAATCAATCATTTGCACTTTTGCAAGAACTATGGTTTGGTTGCAATGAAAAGCTTCTAGACACTTGACAAGTACTGTTCCTCTTTGGTTGCTAGACACTTGACATGTACATTATGTGCATGACAGGTTACATGATTAATAATTTAAATGCTTTAATTCACCAATGAAACAACACAACAAATACCAAACAACTAAATTTTAGTGCTTAAACCACATACAGTTTCTTCCAAAATCTTTTCTTTTTCACCAGTGAAACAACACAGGTACATACTTCATTTCACTGGTGAAAACAAACCCATATGCAAAATCAACAATACACGAATCACTAACCAAATCAAATCAAACAAACATGTATCTGGTAGTCTATTTCCCTAATGCAAGTATGATTACTCGAAAAGTTAGTCACTCTTAACAGATGGTAAAATTTAGAAAGGCAGGAACTGATTATAATTGGCAAAATAACTTGCATTCTAATCTGACATATTCTCATTGCAGCAAACCAAGAAGAAGGGCCACAACGCAAATCATTCAAGCTGTGAGCAAGCTGCAGTGGTATGAGTTGTAATTAAATATGATTATAGACTTACAGTCCAACAGCGTGAACTTTTGTGGTTAGTTGTAGTTGAAGGCCATTGACTAGCAATTGTGTACATGTGATACACACACACATGCATAGATATATACACACACACATGCATATATATATATAAGTAGGATCAAGATTTTACTGGTTCAAGAAATCAAATTTTCGTCTCACCAAGCTTGCTGCTTTCTTCTCAAACCTCCATCAAAGAAGCTTATCTATTTTCTGTAGAAATCAATATTAAGTCAGCTAGGTTTGTCAAAGTCATTGGGATTCCTTCAAGATAACTAGAGATCTTGAGTTAGAATCGATAAGTCTGGTTGTATGTCCAGTCATAGGGTGTCGTCCAATGAATTATCAGGGGTTCATTAACGGGTGGATCACAAAACTCTAGGTGTCTTTATCCAAGTCTTTCAAAGAAAAATTTAGAAAGCAATACTTATTTGAGTTGATGAACAAGTAGAATTGAATAAATGGAAGTTCGAGTGGAAGTTCAAGTGGAAGCCAAATTTATTATAATATGCTTCCCTTTATATGKTAATTTGCTTCAAACATGGCAAAATTAAAAGTTTCCCCAACTATCCTTAAATCAGAAAACATACCATGAACCCCATAAAATCATATATACAGAAACACCAATGTCCTCACTCAATTTCTCAGATTCAAAAGCTCTAACATGAAATAATCATAAACATTCATTTTGCACAAGCATGAAACCGATATCACATAGCAACACACGGTCGTTAATCTATTATTATCATCATCTAGAAATGGAATTCTAAATTCAGCGATTGGAAAAACCAACGGAAGAGATAAAGATCATAATTGAAACCTAGCTAAAACAAAGTAAATCAAAATTAGAACGAAACAATAAGCATACCAGGTGGTGAAGACCTTAATAGACTGGGCGAGAGCGAAGGCAACAAGTGCAGAAAGGAGAGCGTAGTTCATATGAACATGGCGTGAATTCTGGATCGGTGGCGAACCTGACATCTCCGATTCACCCATGGATCTCATATCAATATCTAGAATGGGTGTCTGGATTATGGAAAGCGTAAGAGATGATGACGACGATGATGATGATTGTGTCAGTGTATGTATAAAGAGTGTAACAATCTTGATTTCTTTATGGTTTCAATTTTTCATTATAATTATGTATTTTCTGGGTTATTTGAATTGTCTCTCGTTTCTTATTTTAATTATTTACGACTTAAATAATAGGTTTTATACAAAATTTATTTATAAACACAATTAAATTATTTATTTATCTTTTTTTCTTCTAAATATTTCAAATAATTTACGATAAAATGTCTTTTTTTCTCTTCTATTTTATCTATTTAAATAATCAATTATTCGATTATACAACATCAAGATAGCATGGGAATGAGGCGGTACCTCGCCCCGTCCCATCCCGGTTTTACGAGAAATCTCCGGTCAGTCGAGACAGGTACAGTGAGTTTTTCTGTGGGACGGATCTCGTGGATAACAAAACCATGTCCAAAAAGTTTAGGTTTGTTTTTTTTTTTTTGTCGTTTTACATGTATCTCAACTAATCTCATGGGACCTGAAGATATCAGTCGAAAAAATCTCAATGGTTTTGAAGAGACCAGAATTGGTGGCCTAGGGAGACCAGCCCCAAGACCTAACATTTAAATACCAATTGGGTTGTCCCTCATTTGTGCATCTAGAATATTATCGTGCATACGGTGGCACACTCCACCACTCCATTCCTCAATCGTACTGTAAAAAATTTTTGGGTTGTAATGGTTGCCATTGTATTATGTTGTTGGGTGCCACCGAATACATTCCTTTAAAATTATAATAATAACATAAGTTTCTGATAGTAGAATTGGTTTTCACGGTCTTTTCTCTCTTTTCAGGAGCAGATTCGAATCCAATTTGTATCATTTTCTTAGTATTTAACTTTTAATTTCAGGTTTATTATGTTTTAAAGAAAATTTGGGATAAAAGACTCAGAGAAGTAACTAACAAACCAATAATGATTTTGAAAAAGATATTCGTACCTTCCTTTTTTATAGTTAAATGGTGTCCACCACTTATATTTTCTGGGTCCAGTCTCTGGCCAATGACTCAAACATAAAATGTTAAACCACACAAACACACAGTAAAAAACCTCCATTCTTGTGCTCCATAACATAGTTCTCATTCAAAGGTCAAAACTTTTACAATATCTTGCAGGACCTATTTCATATCTACTCTTTCTCAAATAAGTAGAACCTATGAAATCAAAATCTCAAAACAAACAAATAGATCACAAGTATATGCATCTGCATTTTGCTCATCTTCAACTTATCATAATCTACAACAAATTCACCTGATTCTAATGCAAGCTTGCTAACTCAAATTAGCATCAACCCTTTTAATTTGGGTTCAATCTCAATAGACTGACTTCAATTATATGAATTTGAGGTAATGAAACCAAATATACACTCAACAGGCAAGATCAAAGATTCAAGGTTTACCTGTATGTGGCAACAGATGATGATGAAAGATGTTTTCATCAGCGAAGCTGAATATGCTTTCCAAGATCGAGTGCATGTCTTCTATTTTGAAATGGGAATCATCGGCAGAATAAAACTGATGAACTTGATTATCGATCTCAATCCAACTGCAACCTGGTATCTTATAAGCCTTTTGCTCCTTCAATGTAATCCATACCATTCGTGCCTTTTCCCACTCCCCTAATGCTCCATAAATATTGGCTAACATCGTGCCATACCCACCATTGTTTGGATCAATTTCGATTAGTTTCTTGACTGCAATTTCAGCCAAATCCATTCGGCCATGAATCTTGCAGCCGTTGAGCAACGAACCCCATACAGCTTCATCAGGTGGGGTTTTCATTGCCTTTATAACTTCCATGGCTTCTGCAAACTGACCTGCTCGACCAAGAAGATCAATGAAACACCCAATATGATGAATATCAGGCTCAATTCCATTGTCGTTAACCATTGACGTGAAAAAAGAACGACCTTTTTCAACCAATCCACCATGGGTACAAGCATTTAATAGCCCAACAAATGTAACAGCATCTGGTTTCACATTATGTTGCATCATTTCCTCATAGACCATTATTGCTGATTCACTTTGGCCATGGAGGGCAAAAGAATTAATCATGGAATTCCATGAAGTTAAGTTTCTTTTTAAGGTATCATCAAACACCCTTCTGGCTTCTTTCAAGCTCCCACATTTTCCATACATATCAACCAAACCGTTTGCGATAAGGGAGTTAGGAGCAAGCCCGTTTCTAAGAACGTAACCATGGGTAGATTTCCCGAGCTGTAACATACCCATGTGTCCAAAGGCCGAAAGCGAGCATAGCACTGTAACATGATTTGGTTTCATTCCATCGGCAATCATCCGCCTTAGAAGACGGATAGCTTCCGAATACATCCCATTTTGAGTACATCCAGCTATTATAGAATTCCATGATGGCGTATCTCTATCGGGCATTTGTTCAAACAACTCAACTGCATTCTCCATTTCACCAGCTCTAGTATACCCCGAAATCATAGCAGTCCAAGACACAACATTTCTCTCAGACATTTCATCAAACAGTAGCCTTGCAATACCTATATCCGAAGAAAACCTCGAGTAAGCGTCAAGTAAAGCCGTTTGCACAACTGGGTACTCACCATAACCCGTTCTTAAAATCTGGGTATGCAACATTTTCGTTCCATTCGATCCCAAAACCTCTGGACACGATTTCAGGACATGCGGGTAGATAAAATGACTGACTTTAGGTCGTTTCTTTCGAACCATATCACGGTATAACAGGAGCGACGAATCATGATCCGGTTGAAAAGAATAAGCTGTGATCATGGCGGTATAGAGGTAGACATTGGGTGAAACAAGAGAAGAAAAGATTTGGCGAGCGTAATCGAAGTTGGATAGAGAGAGCACACAGCAACGAACAAGCTTGAAGGAGAAGAACTGGTCTTGAGAGTGGCCGCTGGTGATAAGATATGCTTGGAGCTGCTTAAGATGATTAAGATGATTGACTTTATCGAGTATTCCGAGGATCTGCGAGTTGAGATTGGAGGATGCCCGCATCTTAAGCCTCTGCACTCTGCTCCTCACTTCAACTACAGACGGCTTTACTCCAGCCTTGTGTGTGTAATTTCACTTCCAAAATAAATATGATAAAATTTTCATTTTAAAATGCTACGAGTTGGCGGCTACGACCTTAAATTTTAGAGTAAACTACGATTTTCGTCCCTGTAATTTGCATTTCATTTCGCTTTCCGTCCTTCATCCTAACAAAACTAAAAAATCCGTTAAATAGGATAATATGGTAATTTTTTTTTAATTATTTAGGAGGTTTTTGGGATTGCTTGTAGAATCAACTTATTGACTTACTTCGGTGGTGTGACACCGGTAATAAACAATTTTGAGTGTTTGAATAAACAACTTATACCAGTGTTAAACCCGTAATAAGAAGTTTTTGTAGAAGTTAAACCCTTCTGACTTATAATAAGTTGATAAATGCTTTTGTAGATCAATATAAATTGTTTCAAATAAGCAATCCCAAACACCCCCTTAATAGCATTATATATTTTCGTCCCTATGGCCCCACCCTAAACCCATCTTCTTCTTCAACCACTGTCTAGGGTTTCCACTTCTTCATCCATCTGACGGTGCCACAATAATCACAAAGATATCGGTGACAACAATGATGAAGACTAAAAAGAGTCTCGTCGATGAGACTCGGCTATTCAAGAGAATATTAGGAATACGCTCAAGTGGTTTGATAATTACATGGTTGGATATTGGTAGTATCAAAAGAAAGATGATGAAGCGAAGAGGGATGATTCCGGTGATGATGTTGTGAAGATAGAAGAAGAGTGAGGTGGTAATGGATGGAGATGGCGATAAAGAATGAATGTTCCTTCCTGTTCCCGACTACCTTCATTACCAAAATCGACCCCCATCTTACTCTTCATCCCAACATTGTTATTACTAGAATCGACGTCGCTTCAACGACCCTCACCTTGTTGTTGCCTCTGCACTGTTATTACATTGTTGTTTTTGCATTTGAAATAGGTTATTGATGAACAAAGCAGTGAGTCAAAGCCTTGTTGGTGTTCGTCAATAAGTAGAAAATTTACCCAAGCTAGTGACCAGATTTCTCTGTTAGGGACGAAAATAGTTATAAATGACAAACCCCAGGGATGAAAATTGTAGTTTACTCTAAATTTTATGTTAAAATTTTCTAATAAATCTTTTAATTGTAAAACATGTCAACATGGTTTTTCTGTAATCGTGACAAAGATTTTTTCTTTTTTAACTTTGAGTTCCTTAGTCCACGCTTACTAATTTCGGGTTATCATGGATGGTTTTGGGTCTTCACATTTGAACCTTCATGACCATAAGATCTTGATAGCACGTGGATTTGAATCCGGAAAAGAGGAGATTCCCGCTACATCTCCTAAATCTTGCTAATATGCTACGACCCAAGTGGTTACATGACACAAGTTTTGCCTTTCTTTTTTAGCATTCTTACGGTATTTACAATGGGTAACATTACATTCATAAAAATTAGTGTAACATTTGGTATAAATAATATACCATTATCTATTCTAACGAATAACACAAAATCTTATATCAAAATATAATATCTTAGATATAACTGAACAGCACTATACCGAACATTTGACATGTTACTATTTATTACAACAAAATTTGATGTTTCCAAAATGATTTTAAGAACCGTTTACAGAACACTTACCTAGGCAAGCGTTTACCAAGTCATATTATCTTACCGGATGAATATGGAAATGACCAATAATCTTATCCAAGACAAGGACCAAGAGTCTTACCCGGTAAATGAATACGACGACTTTTAACACGGTCAGCGCTTACTGGGAAAATTGTTGTATACAATACCATTTTAGTAGACTAAAATCTTACCCGGTAAGTAAGTGATAATGTTAAATTTTACCGATAAACGCTTATTGGATAAATGTTTAGTAAACGGACCTTGGTGTCAAATTTAATATTTAATATCCCAATTAAAATGGGCTTATATGTTATTTTTATTCTAAAATCTTCAATAGATACTCTAATATTAAATATTTATGTGTACTAATTTTGTATTAATTTCAAAGAACTACATAACAATTTGATTGGAAAATTGAACCAATATTTATTTCACTTATAATTTGAATAATTTTTTTATTAGAAAAGTAATCATGTAATTATCCATCTTTTAAAAAACAATGTTTATAAAAAATTAATCTAATAAAAATATTAATATTGTGAGAATACATGTAACGGCATGTTTAGTCTTCACAAGACGAGCTCTTTAAGAGAGGAAAGATTTAAACATGTACGGAAAAAAGATGGTCCAAGTGTAACCGATATGGGATTCTAACACATCTCCTCCAACGAAGGTTAGACAGACATAGATTGTCCCAGAGTGTAAGCATGTACAAATTACCCTCGTGTCAAGTAGTGGCAGACAACATGCGGAACCCCATATTTACTCTCCAAAAAAGCCATCAAGAATATTACATATATGAACAAGAAATGGTTGAGTCTAGTCGATACCGGGAATCTGAATATGGTAATTAACATCATATATATTACCAACACAAGCAGATAGAATTCAAACCATACATAGTAATAATACAGTAAATTTAGAGACTAACTGGCAGTAATTTTCTAACTTAGAAGGTATGTATTATATACGAATGACTGAAGCAGAAGAAGAATCAGGAGTGGCATGGAAGTTAAGTTGTACAAAGTGACCACTTCCTTCACCTCTAGCTAATCTTCCTGGATTCACACATATGCATTTCACTTCTTCTCCTTCATTTCTTCCCTCTAGACTCAAAACCTATACGATTGGTTCGTCAAATGTAAATATCGATGTTAGAATAAGCGGAAACCCTTTAAATCCAGACCCAATAGAGATAGAATTTCCTTATAACGACTAGGAGGTTGCTACATATATATACAGTTTTGATGGTTCTGTGTCTAGCCAACGCGGGACTTCAACACACCACCTCAAATGGAGGCTAGATGGTGCCTCAAGAATGAAGACGGGCGAGTGTAGAGTCCTTGGATATGGTAGATCCCGGCTCTGATACCATGTTAGAATATGTGGAACCCCTTTTCATCTCTCTAAAAGAGAGCCCTTATAGAGAGAGGGGAAGGTAAAGGTTTGTATATATAAGTTTAGTGGTCTGTGTCTAGCCCGCCAACAATCAACAATGGCAGAGACCAAAGATGCAAGAATCTTGAAGTTGAAGAGATTTTGATAGTTACCTTCACAAACTGTGTGAGATCTGAAGGGATGATGAGGATGTCTGGAAGGGTAGACATTTGAAGAGCTTCTGGGGCGAGTGACAAGTCCACAGGAGTGTCTTCGGCAGGTGGATATAAAGGATAGAAACTGTTCTCACAAGTTTAAAAATAGCAAGTAAGAAGCAAGAAACCATCTTACTTGCCTGTCCTATATATGTCCGTATTTCTATTTTAGTTTATCCTAAAATAGGTGTCTGGTTTTAGAAGTAAGTGTATATTTTCCAATGCTATATCTGATTATGAGATGGAGAAGTTAACTACTCCCTCTACAAGCGTAAACTTGTCATTAACTTGATTAAAAAATGCAATGATTACATGACGGAGTATCTGCCATGCCAAGAAACATACCTGCGTTGGCTCAAGAGATGGTTCGTTAGTGTCGTCATGCGATTTTTGATCCCCCGTGAGACCACATCCGTACTAAGCTGTTTGAGGACGTCCACACTGCAGCACCCTACCTTCACCTATAGATTCGGACCACATTATTCCTTTATTAGGCTCAATGCTTCTATCGAGAGGCGATGTTTTCTAATGAAGATATTATAATTGCAAGTCTCATGAAATCGAGATGTTTTATTTGGTTAACGAGTTAACCCATAGAAATTGGGTTGCAATGTGTAACATAGAGCATAAATATTTACCTTATTTGCTGAGATAATTCCTGGATTTGTAATGCAAGTAATCTGGGTAACAAATAAAGATTATGAGATGGTAACTTGGCATTGACTGCAATAGTAGCCACTCAAAGTAACTTGAAAGAAAGAAGAGAGAGAGAGAGAGCTGATTATACCTGATGACTTAGATCAGCTAGATTGATGTCAAAAGCAGGCTGCAACCAAAAGATACGATAAACATAATATTCCAATGAGGGATTTCTAAGCAAACCTAATATTGTATAGATGTTTCATTCGGCAATAAATCACCTGAGGAAATACATAGTCATGGTGCGCATCACGTATGGATGGCACAAGAATCACACGTGCAGCAGAACCCATATATTCCACATAATCTTGAAGCTGAAGAACGATTGATGTATAAAGTTGAGAGCAAAACTAGCAATAACAATGTTGAGCCAAAAACAGAGAAAACAGTTTAGCAGATGTTACCCTTCTAAGAACTTCAAGCCGGAATAATTCATCATAAGTCCTGTTTAGAGTTCCTTTTTTGATCTCAGGGTGTTCAGAATCAATAAACGGCCCTAACTGTGAAATAACCAAATACCAAGTTAGTCTCTAGAATAGTTTTGATCTGTTACAGGATTGAAACTTGCTAATTCTCACCAGTACAAGCAACTGAGGCTGCGTTCTTTGTGCATATGCTAGAAGCTCAGATAGAGGCTCAAAGAATAAGTTATCAGTTGTGGTAAAAGGACCCGAAGCAATAATCTGGTCAAGGTGACATGTACAGAGAATCAGAGAAATCCGGATTATATTTAGGAAGTACTCTCACCATAGAAGAAGAAAATTAATATGAGCTTCATGGATAACAATTTACACACCAATGATAGATCTGATGGTATATCTGATGGATCAACAGGCTGGTTATCGTGGTCCACAGCTTGTCTTTTTGTTTGACGAAAAGTATCAGCATCAACAGAAACTGATAGGGGTACATAATCAACGATTTTTGTTGCAATCAGATAGTGTCCACTTGGATTATGTCCTTCAACGCCTACAACCTGTTGAATGTGATCGTGTGAACTTATGTTAAGATTACGTTTCACTTGAATGTTTTTTTTTTCTGTTCAATCACCTTCTTCTAACTATCTACCTGGCCTGGGAAAAGAGAAAATTGGTCCAATTTTTGCAAGTCAAGACGCACCCGTTGTCCTCCAGAGTGCTCAACGCTGTTAAAATCAGTAAAAATCCCTATTAACAGTGAAATAATGGACTAACAAATGGCATCAAATATATGAATATCCAACAGGGTTCTGCAGGGTTCAAATTATCAGTATTAGAGGTGACAACGTGTCCTGTCGTATTGAGTTTAGTTGGTTAGTCAAACTTGGTGATCCTAATTTGAACAAATAATTGAAGTATTCCACTTCAAATCCTTACTGGTCTTTAGCATATAGTTTCTAAGCTATAACTATACATATAAAACAGATACATTTGCAGGAGTAGGAGCATGACAACATTGTGCATTGGGCCCACTGTCCTGGACAAACTCTCTACCCTCATTAAGAAAGCTATAACAGAAAGAATAAAGATGAACAAAGAGAACTCAAAGATACACCACGACAATGTATTTTGAAAGCAAGAAGCAGCTCTGAATTTTTACCTGCTTTGGAGCATTATTGGTTTTTCCTTTAAACGGCCTTCTTCTTCACAGCAAATCATGCCAACAGCAAAAATACTTTTCTGAAAGAAAGCATCGACATATGTTACTAGGTTGTAAAAGCTCTTCAAGGATGATTAAGAAAAACAAAGAAATGCATAATCGCTAAGAACCATGTGGAGTGGAAAGCGAAATGGAGAACTCTGAGAAAGAAAGAGATGAGATTTACTTGTGAAGCAACAGAAGGATCCACAGGTTCCTCATAAAGCTGAGATGCAACAAGGGCTTTTGAATATTTCATGATTCTATCTTCAAGACAATTGAACTAAATTTCCAAAATCAATAAAGTTACTGCTGTCGGCATGGTCAAGTGGCCAAAAGCAATCAAATGCATAAGAAAGTTACAATACCTTGTCTTCTATCCTGTCATACATGTACCTGCAGCCTGGTGCAGGTTGGGAACTGAGAATTTCAAGGGAACACCTTTGGCTGGGGTGTACCCTCTTAATCACATCATCATCTGAATTCTCTTTACCCTGTTCCTTTTTTATATCATTAACTACTGGTATGCTATTAAGAGTGGAGTGTACCACAAACTTGTCCTTCCGTTGCCCAAAGGGTGTCACGAGTTCTAAAGGTTTCCCCAACTTATGCATGCTCCCATTCATTATAGGCGTTGCATCAAAAGAGTCAAGATGTACATCATTTTGTCCTGCTGGAGACGTAGGGACAATCTCTTTAGCATCTTCATGCTCATCATTAAACTCCCTGTGGTTAAACTTCAAGTTATTGATTCAAGACATAGAAAATAAAGCTCAAGCATTTATAGTTACACTAAAGTTGGATTTTTGCTACCCTCGAGAAATTAAAAGTAATGATGTAGAACATACTTCTCAGAAAGAAGCTGTCAGATTCCAGCTACAACATAATCCAATTGTCCTTAAAAGCATACATCAAGTAGAAAATTAAATTGCTCATGTGTTCACTGATTCATATTTTCTTTTCTGATAGATACAGAAAAAGGGTATTCGCCACCCTCCGGAGCGGCCCCACCACAGCGGTCTCATCATGGGGAAGGTAAATCGCACATGCATCCCAAACAGCAGAGGATGGTGCCCAGGCTCAACCCTGGGACCTCACACATATAGATTACACCCACACCTCTACTGCTGGGACAGATCAATGATAACAAAAAATGGAGCAGCACAATATTCATTCGGTATGAAAAGCTCACATGGTGACATCAGTGTACGTATGTAGCCCTTGTTCCTTCTCAATAATAGCTTGTTTCTGTTCAATTTGTAGTTGTTGTCGGAATGCATCCATATGAGCATCGGATACTATTAGTTCTAGTTGCCTGTCAAAACATGAAGTAGATATTAGCATCAGTTAACCTTTTCTCACTTTGGCATACCCTCAAAAGTCAAAAATACACTTCAATGTCTCATTTAATTTGGATACGTCGCAGACATGTAAAAAGAACTGTACTCACAAGCAATGGTAGAGTATGCTACATATAAAATCAGTATATAATGTATCCAAACAAAATAAAGAACAAAATTCTCTCAAGGCAGCAAGGTGCCTCCCCAAAAACCTACAATACAAAGGGTTGTTAAGCACTGATGATCAATATACTGTGACAATTTTTTATACTATACAACCATAACTTTCATCATTTTTCTGCATTATTTTAATCCTGCCTAAAATTTAACATTTTAGTTAACCAAGATGCAGGCATAGTCTCCTGACGGTGTGGAAAACCAGCAAGTCTTTAGCAAAAATAACAGGAAAAACAAAACCCACTACGACATTGAGTCATGCAAACCAATTTTTCCTCCATTTTTAGGGAAACCCCATGTTTTCTCATAGTGGTTTTCAGATTTTAGCAATCAACTCACTATGATTTAAGTACTACTGTAACATTTAGTTTCCATTTAAGAAATTGACAAAATTGCTTCGTAAAAATATGCATTGTAATACAAGTGTACATTTATTGATGACATGGCATTTATATTATTTACACACTGTTTTGTGTTTAAGATTTGGCTGACTGTATTTATCCGACTTAACAAGCAGGTCACTTGATTTAGTTATTCCTAAAAAAACCTCTCGTTCATGGATACCTGAACTGTGAATAAATTGTCAACCTTATGGCTGTTTTTCATAATACAGGATCAGACTGTAAATAACCAAAAGCAAACATGCAGACCATGTGTCGGTGATTTTAGTGTCATCAACCATTTTGGTGTAATTGTGATTTACAAGGGACCGACCAGGTGACAATGCATAAATAACATGAGATAGGTGGTGCAGAGTGCACATCTCACAAATATTGTCACTATCACCTTAGATCACCATAAGGCTGGGGGTCAAGGGGGATGCTTAGGAATTTGAGTTTCTGAATATTCTGAGTGAAACTCAGAAGGTTAGAATCCTTCTTAACTTAGGTCAAAAACTTAGTATTTTGAAGACCAAGCATGGAAACGGTACTAACACCATGTTACCTTCTGAATCAGAGTTTCTGAGTTGAAATCTGCTCAACCTTATTCAAAAGTGGTTATAACTGTTGTAAAGTTATCTACTAACTGCCTAACCACCCTGTAACTGTCAATCTCTCATATAAATATACAAAACGTTTAATCTGTCTGGGTTGATATACTCGAGTTTTTCTTCCTTGACAATGAGAGTGAATACTTGGATTATTGCAATGCTGATTTCATGAAACTTAGGTTGTAAAAGGTCAAAATACAGTATTTGCCTATTTGGAAATTGCAACTGATACCCAGTTTCCTAACATCATGCCCCTCACACTCCAATGCAGACCAATCCTATGAACAATATGATGTGGTGCCTGACACGTTATATTTTGTAAACTCTATTTTTTTGTGAGTGTAAGTTAACTTTTCTTCCTCTAACGCTTGAACAAGCTCAAATCACTTAGAAAGATATACATGTGAAAGAGCCAAATAGTACCCAGGTTGAGAATTGAGATATACCTAATTAACGGCAATGATATCATTGATAGAAATCCAAAGAAGAATATAATAACAGTGAGAAAACAGATTTTCCTACCCAAAAAAATAAGCCTAGAATTTCTCTTGACCCTCGTATTCAGAAACCATATACAGAAAGTTAAGATAATCGAGCAGACTAATTACCTGTTGATAGAATACAGATCCCAGCTCGAAACAAGGTCCGATGGACTGAGATTGTAATTTATACAAAACGTCAAACCTGGCCACCGCAACAAAACAAATTGGAAAGTAATCAATTGCAAGGAATATAAAAAACAAGTTCAAGATGAAATTAGCGGGGCAAAAAAGTGCAACTCTTTTCTTACATTTCTGAACAATTTCTTCTTCTTCAACTAGAACGAAGTTGTTCTTCCTGAATTCTGCTCTAATTTGGTCTTCCATGGCGATCTAGGGTTCTTGCTGTGAACTGTGCTTGGAGGGAAAATTAATAATAAACAAGATGGCGCGAAAACTTTGTTCGTGGTGTCGTGTCGTGTGTGTGAATGGGATTTCAAGTTTTCACATCTGGGCTTTTACATGTTGTGGGCTTTTGGGCCTTTCTGGACCGGATTTGTAAGATTCTTAGCGTTTAACCAATCGCATGCTTTTTCAATTACAAATCTGTACACTTCTGGAATTCTGAGAAATTTCACTGAAACAGATTCATTAACTATACAATTTTGGTCCTTATAATTCACATGAATCGTCAAAAGTGGTTCATAGACTTCTTTAACTACAATTAACATCCTTCGACTTAACTCTGTTAAATCTTTTCCGTTAAATTAAAAGTTTTTTGGAGCTATGCGTTGAGACGTAGCAGTTGACTGGACATCTAGAAATAAAGCAATGTTTTCAAATCAATATACAATTTTGTTTAAAGTTTAAACCATGGACCAAATTCTAATTTACTCTAATTTATATTTATTTTTAATATATACATTAGGACTAAGATGTCATAGGGACCAAGCCATCTCCGACGACAGATGCGATCTCCAGCGACCATCGACACTGCACCACCCATCGTCGGCGACCTCGACCACTACACCCTATCGATTTGGTTCCTATCGTCGTTGGGAAACATGTCCCCAACTCTAATGGCAGTCTCCATCTCCACCACTTCTTCAATGACATATCCGGTCAACATCTCTATAGCCAACACTTCCATAACAAGCTCTCGGTCCCTTTAACACCCATTGTGAACTCCACCATCACCCCTACATATGGTATACACAGAGACAAATGTTGGTGATTTGGATCACTAATGTCATTTAAGCGTAATGAGATTAATTTGTTGACCAATGTAATCATGATAAATATCGAACAAGTAAGAAAAGTGCAAAGTGCTCACTTGTTTGAGTTTATTTTGATTTGGAGGTAGAAGCCCCTAAACAACGGGGGTCCAAGGGCAGCGCCCCTGGTGGCGGGGTCCAAGGGGCAGGGGTAATATTGCTTTGTGAAAAATTCTTCAAAAATCCGAATTTGAAATTTTAAACCCGGTTAGGATTCTGAAACTGTTGTTTGACAGTTTTCGAATTTATTTTCCGTATTGGTCATTTGATTTTCAAGGGTACATAGATCCATAACAATTTATTCTTCGTTCGAAAACCACTGAATTTTATCCAATTGAAATTTCGATTGTACCATCAAAATACTTCGATCTAAAAGTGTTATACGACTTTCAGTGGAATCCGAGCAATCGAAAACCAGAATTTCTAACAACGAAGACCCACCTGTGGATTTCAACCCGTCTTCTTCCCCCATTTCTTTAATTTGATCAAAAGCCATGGGTGGTATGTTAAAAATGTATTTTATTCCAATTCCTCGCTTTCTCGGATTAGGGTTTTTGTCGAATATGAAGGAAAGGGGGTTAGAGTTCGATTTTGTTCCGTTATTCCTCTTCGGCAGATGAACACTTGGTGGTACAGCAGCTTCGCTTTTAGGTGGTTTATTTTGGTTTCAGATTTGAGTTTTAGGTTTGATTTGATATGATTGGGTCTTGATCTGGGTCGTATCACATTTGATATAGTGACCGTAGGAGTTTCAGACATAAAGTTGGTCACTGGAAAATCTAACGGAGGTGGGAATGTGGGGGTTTGATTTAGGTTTCGGAATTAGAAATTGGTTGAGTTCTGAAACTTTTTTTGTTGGAGAAGATGACCGGAGAAAGTGATCAGAGAAAGTTGTTGGACTTTGAGCACAGAGGAGAAGAAGAAGATGGTTGGAATTAGGGCTGTAATGTTGGATTGTACACATGCTTTAAGCATGTGTACTTAAAAATTTCCTTTATAAAAATAGAAAAGACAACAGAAAGACTGAAATACCCCTTATTTAATGGATTAATTTAACAGAGTTAGTGATTAGGGACGATTTTCAACACAAAATGCAAACTATGGGGATGATAATTATAGTTATTGAAGTCTAAGACCACTTTCAATAATTTGGATAAACCATAGGGACCAAAGTTGTAGTTTATTTTAAATTATAGTAGACATTCTAATTATATTTTAGTTAATATTATATATTTTAATATGTATAATTGTAATTTTACGTAATTATTTAAACTAATTTAATTATGTTGTATTTATATTTTACTTAAAAGATTATATATAGAATGTTTTTTAGACAAGATTAGTTAATTTAATTAAAAAAAAATGATTTATAAAATATATTGTTCTATATAAAAAAACAATTTATTCAAACAAATAAAAACGAAAAGGAAGTCGAGGGATGCGTCGACATGGCTTGCAATTGTACTTGTAAATATTGTATTTTGCAAGTGTTTTTGGGAGAGCTTTGCAAGTCCTACAGAGATTGTAAATAAAATTCAAGAAACCAACATATAAGAATCAAGAAAACCGATCGATTCATACTTTTCTAATACTGATCAATTTTCTTAAGTATTGCTCGTTAAATGAATAAGAAAATACGAAAACATCCTTGTCCCATTATTTATGAAGGGACCTGGTGATATATATGATGTACAAATTATTAATGCATACACTTTCATAACTTATCTGTTTATGTTTAAAAAAAAATTATGCTGATATAGCTATTTGATTTCTGGTCTCCTTCATTTTTAACTCTTCTATGCAATTTCAAAATCTAACAATCTTTGTCTCTTGTTCTTTCTATGAGTTGTTCTCCATCTCTTGGGATTCAACAACTTTTGATGGGTATATCATTTAATTTCTTGAAAATAACTGCTACATTTACAGCATCTAATGTATTTGTTGAAAATAAGTTACCAGTATGTTAACTTTACTTGATAATTTTTTTTTTCAGTTAATCAATAATTACAACATAACTTGACAATTTAACATCTACGTTATCAATAGTTACAAGATCTACTGGTTACTCACCAAAATTCATACAAATATGAAGAATTAAACGTTTATTACACTAATAGTTTAGTACAGTTGTTGAAGCTGTTATTGGACTCGCTATTGTTTTAGTACATCGAAAAAGGTATCAACTATAAGCAAATGGAACCACAAGAATGATGCCTGATTGGTTTGAGTTTGGCTCCAAATGTCAGAAGTACATGAAGGTCTCGGGTTCAAATCTAAGGAGAAATAAAAATCCACTTGTGGTCACGGAGGTTCAAATGCGGTGACTCCGGGCTATTTACAAAGTAGATGGTCGCCCTAAAATTAGTCGGCTCGCATAACGAATTGGATATTCAGGTTAATAAAAAAATATATATATCATATATAAGCAAATGGGGTAAGCTCCCCCGAAGGTATTTTCATTACAAATTTGTAGCATGAGTTAGATCACCAAAAATTGGCATTACATCCTTTACAAATATATGAAACACACACACACACACCATGCTCATATCAAACTCCAAAATCTACTGTGTTGGATGTAGCCCACAACACCTACATCCATGTATAATCTTCTAAATTTCACATGGCATCCCTTATTCCTTTTATTTATTCACGAATATCGAATCAGTTTTTTTTTTTTTTTTTACTGTAGAAGAAAGACCGTATAAAAAACCTTTCTTCAACTATTGCAAAGCCAAGAAGCCTTGTTGATGAACGGGGTCATGTTTTATTATACAACCTTTTCTATTCTTCTCGGACTTTTTGTGAACGAACTTCATCTTCTTCGTGGTCATCATCTACTATATCGAGTATAGGAGAGAGAGAGAGATGGAAGTTTACGAGAAAAATTTGTAGCTCCCAGCCGACATAATGATCGACCTTAGACCTCCGATGGGAGCTACGATCATCAATATAACACCAATTACGATGCAAATCTGAAACATTTATAACACGAATCAGGCAACTCCAAGAAAAAAGATCCCGAAAAAGATTGGAAAGAAGTTTTTCTAAGTTATGACTTACCCAATTTATGCACCAACTTAGGCTCCACCTTTTGGGTTTCTTGATCACCAGCCAAATGATGCAAGGAAGCTGCAAGCAACGAAAGGATACGAATGAGATTGTATATCTTGAACGGTTAGACCTTTGGCTCATAGGTTGTAGAGTGTTTTCTAACTTTGGTATTTGAGAATGTTCAAGATTGGTTCCATACTAGATAGAGGTTCAACTGGATTAAGCCAAACCAGACGAACCCGGTATATCCCACCTGAGGTGGGGTTTTTGGGGAGGGTAAGATGTATACAGACTTGACCATTACCCCAAAGAGTAGAGTGACGGTTTTCATGAAAACCCCAGTCGTGAAAGCTGAAAAATGCAACAAGGTGAGAGAAAAATATGATAAAATTAAACAGAAATTAGGTCCGGCTGGTTTTAAAATGTTCACTGTAACATATTTGCAAGATGGCATGATCTTTGATGATAAAGTTGTTTACTTGAAAGAACGGACTTACATAATAAGTTGTTGGAGCCAAGGCAAACCCTCCAAAGAAGCCAAGAAGACCACCAAAGAAAGGGATTGTGATTGCAACAAAAGTGGTGATAGCTGCAAATACCTCAACAAATGAAATCAAAAGAGCCTCACAAACAAAACACATACTGCTCAGATAAATAAATATCATCAGTCTTACCAACAAATGTAGTACGAACAACGAACCGAAGGGCATTACTTGGTTTAAATTTCTTTGATTTAACCAAGTAGGTTTCGATCATGTCGTACACTGGCATAGAGAAAAGCTGAAATGTGTTCGGGCCATCCCAAGAAAGAAAAAAAATGTTAGATTTGGGAACTAAGATATAACCGAGAAGATCTGTAGATTGTAGTTGTACCTGATAACCACCAATGACATGAATGATGACAAACATGTTAGCCGTCGCAATAAGCCAAGCTGGGTGTTCAAGAGTGATGAGGATGTTGTCGTCGACAAGGTTTCCAAAGGCATAATATCCAACTATGGCAACGGGGAAGTAGCAAATGGCAACAATGATATACGCAACGACACAACCTAACCACATTGGTCCCTTGGAAGGCTTTTCAGGAGTCGAAGGAATGGTTGCTTGGATCTCCAAGACCACATTGTGACCAGCATATGCAAAGGCTACATCACCCAAAGCAGAAAACATGCCGAACATTTGACCTATAGCGGTTTTTGACCTCAAGCTGTAGTCCACACCCTCATGAGCTCCCCTATTCCAAGCAGCTACCCAAGCAATCATAGAATAACTGCAAGTCCCCATGAATAGTTAGTGAAGCAACATGTGGTCTACTAACCAAAACAAACCAAACGTACCCAATGAATCCCACATAGAGTAGGTCTACCCAAGGCGGCGTATAGGGACTGTTTTTATTAGATCTTTGGCTTTTAAAAGGTTTAGTAGTGGCCTAAGTTAGTGTCCAGCTTAAATTAGCGACTCCGTGTTGGTTGCAAAATATGGTGCTTTTAGATAGAGGCCCGCCTTTCAGTGCCACGACCCTGAAAGATCTACAAGCACCACCAAGAACGGTACTAGTCCATTCTAGAGACCCCTATTTGGGTCTCAAATGTCATATAATTTTGTATGAAATGAATTGGGATGAATTTATGGTTTCATACCTCAAGGACATGACAGCGGCAGCCAAAGAGACACCGGAGATGGAATTTAAGTTGGGGAGATGAGCGAGGACAAAATGAACGGAAGAGAAAATCAAGATGAAGTAAGTTGTCCTCATAGGTCTACAATTTGGACAAATGGATTGTTGGAACTTCTGCAAAGATTTACCTCCAGTGACCATGTAAACAATGCAGGTACCAACTTCCACCACAAGCTGCTGAGGGACGACCACGTAAAGCCCAAGCCGCTCACCGAAAGCATATTGGCCTAGCTCATGATACCGGTCAAACCTCCTGCCTGGAACCACTTCGTGCATCTCCACCATTTGCCACAATGTGTACAATGTAATCACCCAAGACATGACCAGTACCGTGATTCCAAAGCCCCTGCATCATAACCAAACACTCATAAAAAATCTTACAGATTTGGCTTCTGTATGGATTTTTATCAAGCACCTTACGTGCATCATTTAACCAAAAAAAAAAAAGATCTTACCATCCCAGTTGAGATAAGGCATAAGGAAGACTGAGGACACCGGCACCAACCATGGCGGTGACATTGTGAAAGGCTGAGTACCACCACTTTGCGTTTCTGGATGAGGTTACCGGGAGCCATTCATCAATGGCTTTTTCCTCTGAAGTTCTTGTATCAAACTTGGAATCACCACCAGACTCCATGGAAATTTGAAGTCACACCCTTGTGTAGTCGCTTGAATTTGTTTGATGAAGAAGAAGAAAGAACCAACATCAAGTATAAATAGAAAACCCAGATCCATGATTTGAGTTCTCTCCTTAATTTTCAAAACTAGTGTACTTTATTCAATGACACATGTAGAGAAAATTTTGGTAAATGTGAGGAAATGGAAGTTTGGCGGCAAAGCTGCTATTTCTCTCTTACAACTATAATTTAAATTATCACAACCACAAACCTAAATCTTGATCATCAATTACCAATTTACCCCTGTTTCCACATTTTACAATTACCCAAATTACCCTTCTTAAATACCATTTTCTTTCATGATTACACTTTTTTAGTGTATATATAATACTATTGATTTATTGGTATTGATGGTTTCTTTTTAACTTCTGTATAAAAAATTATGCACCTCTTTAGGCTTGTGACCACATAATTAGTGTGAAATTTATTTGTATCATAGGAATAGTCTTTAAAAAAAAAATCTTGTGTTTTCGAGTTTTTTAAAAAGGAAAAAAAAAGAGAGAATGAAAATAAGGTTCATCGATTACAATTTAATAAGGGTATTTCTGTAAAAACAACGTTTCCTTTCTCTTTTGTTCAAGAAAATGATAAATTATTTTCTTTTTCTCTCTTTCCCTTTCCTCCGGGTAACACAAATTATTTTCTTTTCTTCTCAAGTTCAAGAACACATTGCCAATGTGTGCCTCGATGTACCAAATGATCTGTATCGGCCTATGATCTCAAACACCCAAATCGAAGCTTTTACCAATTCAGTTTATGTGCTTTTCAAATTTAAGCTTAACTAGCTATACATAAACAATAATCGTAGAGTCCTTAACTTCTTATGAACCTTGAGCCTCTTGTATCCAATATGGGTGTATTATTCATGTTAAGAGGTGATTGTAAATTTGTTACGACTCGAGAGTTTAAAAAAGTTAAAAGATGAAGTCCCATTGCTTGTTTTCGACCTTTTTTTGTTTGTTTTAGATTTATTTAGAAGTACAATTAAGCATTTGAACTTAATTATGTCATGCATCGCCACTTCCCATATTGTATCATATGGATTATAAAATTTTGAATTTTATGTATAGTATAAATATATATAATGGAGCTTCATTGATGTTGCCACTTTACAAACAAACCACATTTCGGTACGGCATTTTGGAGTTTGAAGCATGTAAAGTTAGATTTGTTGTTTGGAGAGAAGCTCAAACCGCACCATACCCTAAATACCCTCGTTGGTACCTATGACCAAGAGTATCTCGTTCACTTTTAACACCCTATCATATTACGACGACGTATAACAAAACCATCATGGGACGATAAAAACATCTCCGATACAGCAATACCAAGTACAAAAGACTTTTATTATCCATAACCAATCAGTAATTCTAACCACTGAATGGCATCGACAGCATGCACACTAAAATCAAAAAGCCGATTTCTAAACAATCATGCTCTATTTTGGCAATGCTGTTCTTAAAACAGCAGGAGCAGGTAAACAAACAAAATAACCCAAAAGAAACCAGCCGAGGACGTTTGGTGAAAATCTAGGCTTCAACGGATGCAATGTGGCAGATCAGGTCGATAACACGGGAGCTGCAGGGGGAAAACAAGCGACAATGAGAGAGAGAAAATTCATCTCCTAAGCAGCAGCAAATATTGAAGATGGGCAAAATGATCGGCCGAGTCTAACCAATAGTCGTTAATCAGTCAGATTAGCATCCCGGGATTTTTCAGACTGGTCCGTGCCCACCTCTAGCCAATATATACAGGGCCACATTTTCCAACTTTTTGTATATATGTAAAGGTATTAAGTACGTACCTGTATCCCCATTCGTTGTCATACCATGACACAAGCTTCACAAAGTTGTCGTTCAATGCTATTCCAGCTTTGGCATCGAAGATGCTTGACCTGGATAGTAACCAACAGTGGTTTAGAAACATAATGATTCAAACAAGTAGGAGCTGAATCCATAAACACAATTCCTTTTCGCCTTATATTTGATTACAATATAGCAGACTAGTTAGTTATCAGTGAAATTGGCATAGGAAGTTCTCACCTGCTGTCACCAATGAAGTCTGTGGATACAAGATCGTCTTCTGTATATCCCAAAATACCCTTGAGCTTGCCCTCTGATTCTTCCCTGTATCACCAAAAGTTATTGTAAATTATGAATATCCAGGGTTAATATTGGTATTTCAACTGAATATTTATTCCAACGCTTACTTGATCGCAGCCTTGATTTGCTCATAGGTAGCCTTCTTTTCAAGCCTTACGGTCAAGTCCACAACAGAAACATCCACAGTTGGGACACGGAAGGCCATTCCGGTTAATTTGCCATTAAGGGCTGGCAACACTTTACCAACGGCCTACATCAACATAAATCTTATAAGTATAAAATTTCATCTAAGATACAAGGGTACCAAGAGGGTGAATTAATGGTTCTCAATTATGTGCCTAACATCGGTATCTAGATTCTAATTCACAAGTCAATCTAATTACCTTAGCAGCTCCGGTGCTGCTGGGAATGATGTTGAAAGAAGCAGCTCTTCCGCCTCTCCAGTCCTTCATTGATGGACCGTCCACAGTCTTTTGAGTGGCTGGAATATTCATCAGAATTTAAATACATTTTAATTTTAGTCGATAACATGATTGATATAAGCTACTAACAGAAAGGCAACATACCAGTGATAGAGTGCACCGTTGTCATAAGACCCTCAACAATGCCAAACCTATCGTTAATGACCTGAAAGTTTTATACAGTTAAATGCATGAGTCATCAGAAGAAGGGTTGACATATTAATTGTCAAAAACACTAATGGTTGAAATGGAGCTAAAATAACCTTGGCCAGTGGAGCAAGGCAGTTGGTTGTGCAGCTAGCATTGGAAACAATGTTGAGCTCCGGTTTATATTCATTCTCATTGACACCCACAACAAACATGGGAGCATCCTTGCTAGGAGCAGAGATGACAACCTTCTTGGCACCACCCTGATCATACAAATTCCAAGTAAATCCATCTTTTACCACATATAAAACCATAATAAACTGACAGAATCCCCTCTTGGGACACCTGACCCAGAGATCAATGGTACCAAAGAGTGCTATGGGCTTCTTTATTCAAACCAAAGACTTATTTAAGGTGGTGTTTCCCGGTATCAACCTTTGATTCAAACATTGAATTTCTTGGATAGCTGCAAGAATAAAAAAAACTTGGATCCCATGACATACTACAACCTACAAGTAGAGAGAATGTGGGAATGATATCCCACTTTTACCACAATGTACATTTTGTACTCTCTGTTTCTACTTATAATCTATGATCTCGAAATCATAACCATAAAAAGCAACCATACAAACAGTTAAGCATAACCCAACTGCTAAAAGTGTGTAAAAACTAGATATCCAAACAAACCTTCAAATGGGCAGCAGCCTTGTCCTTGTCCGTGAAGACTCCAGTAGACTCTACCACGAAATCAGCTCCAGCTTCACCCCATGGGATGTCTTCTGGGTTCCTGTATATCATAAAAAGATGACCAATTTACAAAATCTCCTTCATAAAAAAGATCCCCCCAACAGGTGACTTAAATAGCCTTCTGATAGATGTTATACCTGATGCCAAAAACAGTGACGGGCTTCTCACCAAAGAGAAGGGTCTTCTCATCCTTGACCTTAAGCTCATGGTGCTTCCATTGGCTATGAACACTATCATACTTGAACATATACGTCTGCAGGTATGATAACCAGTGAATTTCTGCAAAGGGAGACACTAACATCCATATCTACTAGAGTACCGTTTTGGCTTGGACTATGCCCTAGTATACAAGCCTAAAATCAAACTGAGACAGTTATTTTGACAAAACACCAAACGAGTACAATTCTGTTATTATTTCCCTCCACAAAATAGAGTATAAATAGACAAACACACAGACATATGCATATACATGTACACACACACATACACACAACGAGACACACCAATTATTTGCTAACTTGAGTGAAACCATATTGACAATACAACAATTTTTCAGTGCTTAAGATTCATCACGATCGGTAACAATTTACTTGGCCACACAGACACAAAACTCGCATTCTATACAATTCTTAACATTTGTTAAAATCCATATCGCCACACATGCAACACATTCTATGGCTGCAAGAATTTGTTAGGCATACATACAGAGATAGAATCCCACAACACTTGCTTTACATGAATGCAAGAACTCGTTACACATATTTCAAGATATTCGTTGCATCTGAACTCAAATCGAAAACACACTCACATAAATACCTAGATGGAACCAGAGTTTAGTACAATTTTGACTACAAATTTAGCTCAATCTCGACAACTAGAGGAACTAGTTACCGTTTACCAGTAAGATAATGATAGATCACTGGATACATTGGTATATACACAGACGAACAGATAAAGAAGTCATACGCTGCATGACTTCACTGTTCATAACATACATACAGAGTAACAGAGATCGACTCATATTGGAACTCAACATTTGTTATTTGTATCAAGTGATCCGTATTAAAGTGTGATCTCAACAACAATTTCGACTTAAGTTCACTTTGATTTCATCTACCGATTGCAATTCTGTGCAACTTCGACACACGTAAACATATATATGTGTGTGTGTGTGTGTGTGTATATATATATATATATATATATAGAGAGAGAGAGAGAGAGAGATCGAATCGTAAATAAACCTAAGCATTTGAAGCATAAGCAAAAACAGATCACACATGATGAAGTTACCATGTAGTCAGTGGTGATGAAAGGATCGTTAACGGCAACAAGCTCAACATCATCCCTCTGAAGAGCAACTCTAGCAACTAGACGACCGATCCTTCCGAATCCTACCACACAGCAAGTAGAACAGATCAATCAATGAACAAAACAACAAGCCGAAACACAGATCAGTGTATTCAATCAAACAAAAACAAAAACGTACCATTGATTCCGATCTTAATCTTCTTATCAGATCCTGCACAATGAAGTAGAAGACAATCTAAGCATAAACATCAAAAAACCAACTGTCAAAAAGATGTGGAATCGAGAAATTACCCATAGCGATTGGACAGTGTGCGAAGGGTTTGAAGACAGGGAGATGGGAGTTGGTGGAAATGAGTATGGTTTGCGAGCATAAAGGATTTAGGACGTGCTATTTAAAGGATCGGGGCATCAGTGAAAACCGGTGGGTCACGTGATAGGCGGTTTTTTAAATTACTTTCTTGGAGAAAAAGGAACTTCGAGACCGAGCCGCTGGTAATTTACCAAACCCATGAGCCGGTTTATTCGTCAATTATGATAAACCAAGGTGCACAAAGTCGGTATTTTGAAGATGTTAATATATAATTTTTCTAAAATAAAAATAACTCAAAAAAATTAAAAACATATATTCAACTTTAACGGTTTTGGTACCTTTTAAAAAATGTTTATATCAAAGAGGTATTTGGTTTGATGGAATTATTTTGATGAATTTGGATTTTGTGAAATTATTTGAATGAAATTTTTTTTGGGGTTGTTTGGCGGGATTACTGGATAAATTTGGTGTAAAATAATTAAGTGGTCATAATGATTAAAAGATTTTTTAAATATGGTACAAAATGAAATATAATTATGGGAAAAGTCCAAAAAACCCAATGGACTTTACTGTTTAGAACGATTAAGTCTTTGGACAATTTTTTGAAACAAATAAATTCTTAGACATTCTAAAACCTGTTAAGTAAGTCATTAGACTTTTTAAAACATGTTAAATAGATCATCGTTCTTTTAAAATATAACCTGTAACCTGAATAAAAGGTAAAACATTAAATTAAAAAAACAAAAAAACCAAAACTTGTAACTTGACTACCCATCTCCCTCTCAGGTGGTTGCGCCACCATTCACCTCTGCCGCCATTCCTTCTCTTATGCCTCTCTACTTATTCCTCCATTCTGATTTTCCACATCACTTTCTGGTTTAGAGGAAGTACAACATCAAATAGAAAAAAAATGGTATTATTCATCGTTTGTGTAAGCTGTAATTTGGTGATCGAAGGTTGATTCTGATGTTCTTCAATTTTGATTTCTCAGGAATCGATGTGTTGTGGTGAAACGATCAGTAAGATTGATGAGAAGATTTGCGTCGATTGTAAGACCTCTAAAACGCCGTTGTGGAGAAGCGGTCCCTCTGGTCCCAAGGTAGTTCAAATTAATTACATGTTGTTCGATTCAAGTCTAATTAATTCATTAATTTCTGAATAAACAAGTGTGTGTTGCAGTCGCTTTGCAATGCTTGTGGAATTAGCTACAGGAAGAAGAAGAGTATATCAGGATCGGAGAAGAAGAAGGAAGAAGAAAAAAAAAGAGAGAAACAACCACCATCGTCTCCGACGTCATCATCATCGTGTTGTTTGACAATGGGTGAAGATGATAGTGATTTGAGGAGGATAAAGCTGGTGGTGCTGTTGCAGAGTCGGAGAGAGAGAGAGATGTGGGATGAAGAAGGTAAGGAGAAACCATTACAATAAATTAGGGGAAGTAGAACAAAGGTTTTGTAAAGTCCAATGACTTATTTAACAGGTTATAGAATGTCCAACGATTTATTTGTTCCAAAAAATTGTCTAAAGACTTAATCGTTCCAAACAGTAAAGTCCATTGAGTTTTTTTAGACTTTTCCCTATAATTATTTGATAATTATTCAGAATGAAATTAGGATGTTGAATGGTTAATGGAGGCCCAAGTTACAAAATCATTCAGATGGTTTTAGAACCATTAGGAGACATATCTTTTTTTTTACTAAACAAGATTAACCTTTTAGCGATTCAGATGTTGCCTTTTAATAGAATCATTAAGAGTTAAACAAATAACTCCTTAGATTTTGAAATATTTGATGTGTATGATTTGAATGAAATTGAATTTTGTTTTTTATAAATAATTTTGAAAATAATTAAATTATCTTTTTATTAGTTAATTATTAGAAAACAAATGTTTTTAAAATATTATCATATACAAATCTTATGAAATCTGTTGAAATTATATTATTAAAATATATTTTTAATATATTAAATACATTTATCTCTTAGCATTAAGTTTTAAATAATTTTATCTCCTTTTTTGTTTTCTCTTTTTAGAGAAATATTGATGAAAAAAAATCTTCAAAATCTGGATTTAAGATGATGTATATGCTCTCTTATTTAAAGAGTAAACTTCAATTTTGGTCCTTTGAGTACAGTGAAAAGTTCAAAAGTGGAACATGTAGTTTGATAAGCTTAGATTTCATCCTTATCATTTGCATTTTGTTTTGAAAATGATCCAATGGTTACTAACTCTATTTGTAATGTAGAGTTAGTATGAGTGGCATTTTAGTCATTTATGCGTTTACTAATTTTCTTTTAAAAATACAAATATTATCGTATATACTTTATGTATCGTATATTAGAGTTATTTACTTCTTAATAGTTTCATTAAAAGTCAGTATTTGAATCGTTAAGAAATGAATCTTTTTTGAAAAAAAAAATATGTCTCTTAATGCTTTCAAAATCCTCTAAATAATTTTGTATATTGGATCTTCCTTAATCATTCAGCGCTTTAATTTCATTGTAAACAATTAACAAACAATTATATTTTCATTTGCATTCTATCATGAGAGTATCTTAATCATTATGACCACTTATTTTATATCAAACCATTCAACAATTTACAAACAGATTTTAAGTTATTGAAAAACCTTTTTTGCATTAGAGTTAATGACTAGTAAAAGACTTTTTGTAAAAAAGATTTATTCTACAGTAACTCGGGTTATTCATTTCACCAATATTTCACTTTGCCCCCCTCAAACTTTCATCTTACCCCCTCTTTTAATATAATTTTCATTTTAAACTTTATTACCTCATGACTAATTAATCTTATTCATCAAATATTCAAAATAATTTTTTTATAACAAAATACGTTATTAAAAACTAGAAGGATTCTTGTACAATGCAACGAGATGTATATCGATTTTAATATTTTGTTTTATTCTTTGTCTTTGTTGATATTATAATACGTTTTATGTGGTTTTGAGAATCGATAATGTTTTTATTTTTGAATAAAATATAAATTTAAAGATATCATAAAAATTTGAAAAAAATAAAATAAAATAAAAGTTCTAGTTTTTTTTTTTTTTTGTAATTTCTTTAATTAAATTTTTTTATTATAATTTAATTTAGATTTAATAACGAAGTAATTTATTTTTTGTTTAATAAAATCTTTTTAAAAAATTTACATACTCTATTAGAACTCAATGATTATCCTAATTATATTTTAGATTTTTTATATTTAAAATGAGATGTTTATCTTGTATTTGATTGTATATATCTGCAGTTAGTTACACGAATTCAGATATGAAACTTTAATAAGTTGTACTTACGCACAATCTACTTGCAATCTTGAGTTTTAAGTAATATGTATTAATAGCAGTACTTTACGCATAAAAAATGATTTTTAAGAGTTTTTGTCAACTGCTTTATAATATAGTATAGATAAAATGTTATATTATTAAACCAAAAATAAATTATTTTGTTATTAAACTTAAATTAAATTATAATAAAAAATAAAAAAATTACATAAAAAATGAGAACTTTTAAATAGTTGATTTGATATTAACATTGATATATATATTTCAAATTTTTATGATATCTTTAAATTTATATTTATTCAAAAATAAAATCATTATTGCTTTCTTAAAAGCACATAAAATCGTATTATAATATCGACAGAGACAAATAATAAAATAAAACATTAAAATCGAGATGTGTCTCGCTGCATTGCACGAGTACTCTTCTAGTAATTCAAAATACATAACAAATTTGTCAACTTAAAATTAGATGTAAATACATAACAATGTACATAATTTAGCAAAAAATTGTTTCGCAATATATGGATTATCGATAAAGGAATTGATCAATTGATAATTATGTTTTTATTTTTTTAAAAATTATTAGTCATAATTAAGTAGAACGATAAGTATCAAGAATTTTCAATTTTATTTGTAAATTTTAATTATTATAAAAATATTAACGGGTCAGGCTACCAAAAAAAAAATCCATCGCACATGCTCATCCATTCCATTTAACATGTCATCAGTCTGGGGCTGTCCATTTCTTTTCATTATTAAATTTGTTTTATTCAAGTTTACATTTTTTTTTTCTAATGATGTGTATCCATGTGATTGGTTGACATGAATGAGACACGAGACTTTGGATAAGTGTTTTTTTATCTATCTCACTCACATACCCTCCTATACTCACATACCCCTATAGGAGGGGTGTGAACAGAATTCACCTTAATGAAATAACTAATGAGTCGTTTATCAAAATCTTACTGGATAAACGCTTAATAGTAAGAGCATCATTTCTACTTTTCTTATCGGACAATATTCCCAACCATCAAAATGATTTGTTTGGGCAAAAATTAATTACCAGCAACCTTAACCGGCTCACACAGAACCCTCCTCCAGTGACACCAGCGTAAGAGAACATTATGTGTCTCAATCAGCGGTTAAGGTTAGCGCGGGGGCATGGGATTGAACCTCACTCCTTTGCCAACTAAGCTACACGCTAAAGGCCACCAAAATGGTATTTTAGTAAACATCTTTTACCTACTAAGATTCGCGGTCAATGACAAGTCTTGTACCCGATAAGATTCTAGATCTTTGTCATGCTCAATCGAAAAGTAACGATACCCAGTAAGCATTTAGTTATAAAAAATAAAATAAAAAACCGTAAAATTATTATTATTATATTTGACGTTGAATTAATATTATTACGGTTGTAAAAGAAATATTTTACTTAAACAATAATGTATGATGCAGTGACCAATTGGCTTTCAATAAATCATATCGTGTAACTTATTTTGAATTCGGGCTTCCCACTTAGACCTCTTTAAATAAAATAAAAGCAACCATACGTTCAACAATCAGAGTGGCGCAGCGGAAGCGTGGTGGGCCCATAACCCACAGGTCCCAGGATCGAAACCTGGCTCTGATATAAAAGAGTAGCTTCCGTTTATCTTTTTTCCCAGGAGTTTGAATTTGATTTTACAGAATTAGTCCCTCAAGATTGGAAAAATGTTGGTTATCTCCCTTTTATTTTTAATTTCGTAGAATTTAGCCAAATGGTTCCCTTTCATTGTTCTTTATCCCATAAAAATTATTTTTGACGTCCAAAAAATTACATTTGAACTTGCATTTTTGGAAATAATCAGATAAGATAAGTTCAATATTAAAATCCGTGAAAATCGAGGTAAGAGTTTATATTAAGCTTATGTTAAAAGTGTGAAATGATAGTAAAGAATGTTTTGTGCGAATTATTGCATGGATTTGGTGGGTTAGGATTGATAAATGTGGCAAAATGGAGTTTGTCGTATTTATGTTTGTGTATTGAGTTGAATCACCAAATTAGAGCATGAATTGTCATGTAATGGTGATTCAAGTTTGCAATTAGTGTTGACACACATGGATATAGTGTTCTAATGTAAAAAGAAATACCAAAAATGGATGATGGATGATGGATGAGAGTTTGTGAGTTTAGTGGTCGATATGTCACATAACACTCATTCCAAGTGACATAGACAATTAGTCATCTACGGTTGCAAGGTATGGGTCACGAAGACAAAGTGGTCAGCAAGCTAGTGATGGTTGGTTAGGTGATCGCAACTCGGGGGGCAATTGCAACCCTTAGTTGTGTGTATGTGTCGTGGCAACTTGAATTGTAAATCGTCGTAACCATGTAATGTGAATCTAAGGGGTTGTTTGCCCAGACGCTCATCGAAACAGTCAACATGCGAACTTATTTAACAAATAAGATTGTACTTCATTAACAAATCCCTTACTTTTTCATTTTACACTCTTATCATATTAACACAAATAATCGTATATGAGCTAAAATACATTAAAAAATACATTTTTGTTTTTACAAATTATACCATGATAATCGTTTTGTCAATACCTTCAAAATGAGGCTACTATTGATTATTTTTAGATTTAATCAATCATGAATATATACGAATTAATTTGTTTTATACTTATTACTTTTTCATTTTTCATTTTTCATTTTACACATTTATCATATTAAAAATACATAATCTTGGGTTAATTAAAACACATTAAAATGTGTTCCTTTTTTTGGTTACAAATTACACCATTATAAATTTGGATGGTTTTGATTGTTTAGCTTTTATTGTCATACAAAACTAGGGTTGAGCAACAGGGGGGGCGGATCGGGCGCTAAAACATAAAACCCGATCGGATTTCCAAGGGTTTTATGAGACCTGAAACCCGCAAATGTTAGATAAACCCGGCCGGTTTCAAGTCAATTCGGGTCTCGTGCTGTCTCGGGTCGGGTTTTGGGCCACAGTTTTCCCCCATTTTCCAGCTTCTTGTCTATTCCAAAAAATGTAGCTTTCGTTTGAAATGTAAGTATCTAAAATACAAAATGATTAAATGACTTCCTAATTCTTTGATTTCTATAAGAAAATGTCTATACCGAACTAACATAGGGGGCATGGGTGGTGGTGTCATCCCTCGTGGACAGAGGTTGAAGTTCGAGTGAGGAAGTGAGGAGAGGAGTCGTCATCGATTAGGAAATCAAGTCAGAGTTAGTTAAAACTTAAAAGGAAAAATATAATATATGAATTAAAATATTAGGTCGTCGGACGGGTTGGGGGGAAGTAGGATACCCAACCCGATCCTACTTACCGAGGAAAATATCAGGTTTCGAGTGTCAGGTTTAATCAGGTCTCAGGGTCGTACTTTCTGCAGTTTTTTGGGTCGGGTTGGATCGGGTGTTTTGGATATTGTTCATCCCTATACAACAAATTGTACAAATTTTGAGCACGTGGAAGTTTATAATTGTTATTTTGGATTTTATAAAAACTAAACCAAACAAACCAACCCAATATATTTGAGTTATATCTCGACCTTTTCTCTAACTCTTAACATTAATTTGCCTTTTATTCTATCAACATATATATTTTATCTGGTAAAAACCTATTTATACTAGGTTCCTATTCAAAATTTACACTCAACTAAATTGTATGAGTATACAACTAGCATCAGGATGAATAAAAAATAGATAAAAATGAAACATAATTAACATTTTATGTTCTCGACTTTAGATGAAGATGCACACCGCAACATCACACGAACACCTTACTAGTATGGATTAAAGAGTAACTTTCTACCCGTTTTCTTCGGATTCTGAAATTTGTTTTTTCACATAGTTGGCCCTTAGAATAATGGAATATTGTTTGAACTCATTGTACTTATTGTCTTTATCCCATAAAAAGTATTTTTTTTTTGTCCTAAAAAGGTACAATATTTTTGGAAATAGAAGAAAGCAATTCAACAACGAAATCGAGATAATAATTTCTATCACACATGCTTAGTATTTCGTGGAGTCACTGGTTTTTTTTAGTATATAATATTTATATATAACAAATAAAATAAATAAACTCACATGTTTTTCTTACATTTGGTGAGGTTTGAACCCTTTAACCTTCTAGTAAGCTAAAAACTCACATACCGTTAGACCAAAAACTCTTTTATTAAAGTCTCTAAGTTAAGATCAAGAAATGAGCCAAATAAAACTTTTAATTATAATCATTTAATAAAATAAAAATAGAAATAGAAATTTATTAATGATTATCTACATAGTCTAAAACTACAGTAAAACTTTATTATAATTAATAAACATTATATAAAATTGTAAATGATTTTTTCAGAATAATATTTTAGATTAGATTGGATCATTAATTAAAAAAAATTGAATCATTAATGAATCTAAAACAATATAGTTATGATATGTTCATCACTTCCTACTTGTTAAATGCATCTTACTTTACAAATTGATCAAAAATAGTCAATAAGTCTAACCAAATTCACTTTTTAGTTTTTTTTTTTTTTAGAGCCAAATTCTAATTTTAGCCGGAATTTACATAAATATAGAGTCTATTTTTAAAATTAATGAAACTCTAAAATTGTAAACATAAAAATTAAAATAGATTGGTGCAATGGACCCCACCAATTGAACCGTTGAGTCCGCACCTAATCGTGTTTCTTTGAACGACTTGACCGTTTCGTATTTTCGGAGCCAAAAAAGCGAATGCAAAAAGTAGCCGTTACTCTACATTTTTATCAATTTACTCCATTTAAACCCTAGTCCTATTTCTACATAATATCGGTTTTTTCAAGAAGCACTACCTGTTTGATAAAATTCCCCTCAGAAACAAACCGTACTAAGTTTGAAGAAATTTCACTGCAGAAATGGCTTCAAGAACTGCTAGCAAAGACATAATCACTCTCCGTGGATCCACAGCCATCGTCAGCGAATTCTTTGGTAAAAATCATATCTACATTCTTGTCACTATTTCCGTTTCGTTTTTGAAACCGTGAGTTCGTCTGAGTTCCTAGATGCTAACGATTCCCGATCTATTGCAACCCTTTTCAGGTTATGCAGCGAACAGGTAAGAATTGTTAGGGGTTTCTCGTTTGGTGTGTAGATTTTTGTGGTTTAGATTGGAAAATGTTGATTTTGTTGGGGTAATGTGTAGTATTCTGTACAATCGTGGAGTTTATCCTGAAGAAAGTTTTGGAAGAGTGAAGAAATATGGACTTCCATTGTTGCTTTCTCAAGATGAGGGTGTTAAGACATTCATCGCGAATTTGCATGCTCAGCTTTCGGGTAAACTTTCGATTTTGTTGATTGCAAATCTGAATAGAACGTGGGTGAACTTTGTATTGTAATTTGATCAGTTGATTTGATTATAAATTTGGGTATTATAAAGAATGGCTGGAAGCTGGGAAGTTACAAAGGATTGTTCTTGTGATTATGAGTAAGGCCACAAATGAAGTACTTGAGAGGTGGAATTTCAGTATAGAGACAGATGGTGAAGTTGTTGAGAAAGGGTAAGTTATTCTTGAATCTTTGGATCATCTCCAACCCTTTAACTCCAAAAAAACACCGAATTGGTGGGTCCATTAACACGAAAAAAGAAATCAACTCCAACCACGCTGCATATACACCGTTTCTCTCCCATCTCCGGGATTTTGCCTATGTTTTTGCAGTCCGGTTGGAGATGAACTTGGTCCGTAATACCTTGTTTTGATTCCAATTTTAATGTATGTTGACTCCAGAGTTTCAAGGGAGAAGAGTGATAAAGAAATCATGAGGGAGATTCAAGCTATTATGAGACAGATTGCATCCAGCATTACGTACCTGCCATGCCTCGATGAACCCTGTAAGATTATGTTTCATTTGCTTTTAGGGTTTATATGTAGAGGTACGTAGATAAAAGGGAGACGTCTTCATGACTATGGTTTTGGCATTCAGCCCCTGTAACAGACCTAGGAAGATGGTGCTTGTTCAAGCCGTCTGTTTAGACCTGGCTTGACAACCCATAACTTCAATCATGGTTTTAAATTGATTTGGATGTTATTGAGCCATTCTGCTGCTTCAGGGTGGTTACACCGGTTCCCTTTTGATCTTAGCAAGTGTTAATTTTTGGTGCTCCTCTTGCATTTTGAGTGATGTTTGATGCTTTCGGTCAAGTCACAAATGGGGTGTTTTTCATTCTTGTTTACAAGCAAAAGTGTTGATTTCCATAGGATCGATAAATGAGTGGCTTCTGTCGCTAACCATCACCGTGTTTAAAAACACGTTTCCGATGTTCATCAAGCATATTTGATTGATTTATATGTTTCAACTGCAGGTATCTTTGATGTGTTAGCATATACTGATACGGATGTTGCAGTACCATTCACTTGGACCGAAAGCGACCCAAAACTGATAGCGAATCCCCAGATGGTGAAATTGCATTCTTTCGATACCAAGGTTCGTATCATTTATAACATTTTCTTGTGGTTTTTATTAAAAGGAAAGGAACCCAGAATGTGATGAGATGAAATGGTTGTTTTTATGATGCAGATACACAAGGTTGACACTTTGGTGTCTTACAAGAACGATGAATGGGATGAGCAGTAAACAAAGATGATGTGATTTCTTTTGCTTTTGTGTCCTTTTCTTGTTGACCCTTTAAAGGTCAATGGTTTTTGATTCAGTTTGTGTAAGCCTTGAAATATATGGAAACTTTAAAAGAAATGGGCAATTGAAATTGAAGAATTTGCAAGAAATGTTGCCCTTGTATTCATGAAAATTGTTAAGCAAAATTATCGGAAAAACCGAAACATTACAATGTGGTCGAGCCTAGCTAATACCACGGTAAATTGCACCTGGGCAAAGCTCGTCCATAATATCGACATTTCTGTACCCGTTGTATTCTCTCAAACAAATCCAGCCTCTGCGGGACAAAAAATCACGGAAATCGTCTTCGGTGTAAAAGATCTTGTCTTCCGTATGGACTGGCACATGATCTGGCTCCTCGAACAAGCATACTTTGATCATAAGCCCTGAGTTTATTGTTTAGGATTTTAGGGTTTATGGTTTACGGAATTTAAACATTTGAATAAACAGGGTGGATGATTACTTAACTCACCTTCATCAACATGAAGAGAGTAGTTTCCGAGAGGCATGTCCCTATCGAGCGTCCGCACTATGTTATCGACATCTTCCAACCAAAACGCCCTGTTTGTTCTCAGCCTGAAAGCGGACTTGATGGTTTCTTTTATGGCTTCCGATGAGCCATCAATACCAATTCGTCGTGTGTAATCCCCCAATTTGACAGAAATAACCCTACCACCATAACTGTTATTCTGATCACCTGCAACTATAACACGAAATCTTAGAAAAGGAAATGAAAAAAGTTATAAACTTGAATAACAAAAAAAACTAACCATTTCCAGGAGTCTCCCTCCAATTCCATGGAGAAACTCCCGTTGCTGCCATGGTATCGGCTGCAGTGATGGCAAGCGGATGCCCCTCTTGATCCAACCGTCTTTCTAGATTTAGAGCTCCTCGGGCATCATCTGTCACACCAAAGAATTTTGAAAACTTAGCCGTTTACAACACAAATTGGGTAAGCGATAACCAAGTAAGAGTGCAGTCTAAAGCAAGCCCGACTGAAAATGACTGTTTTATCATCTTGTGCTGACCTGGTAAGTGAAATAGCTGCTGACTGAATCAGCACCGGTCAGCAGGTAGGTAAACAAACAGGTTAGAAAGATGTTTAATTTTCTATCTTTTTTGGGTTTAAACCGAAATGGGGGACTATAATTTTGATTTTATTGATAATCACATGAAATGAGCATCTAAACGGACCGCAAATAACTAATTGCTAGACATACAGAAGGTAAATGATAGCAATACTAATAAGGAGAGCATCAAGAATGAATCAGAGATCGGAACTGGTGCTAGAAAAATTTGACATGCCTTCTACAGGTCCAAAAGCGATGCTCGTATCCTCTACACCTGCAGAAAAGCAAAAAACGATGCCTGTGTCAAAGTAAATTAGCCCGAAATCGTTCATTCTTGCAAACAAACAGTGTTTTCTTTTTGGCCTTTTTGCAAGTACCATGATTCAAAAAGTTAACTGCTATGTCGAACATATAAATCTCAATTATGGTTGTAGATAACTCAAAATCGTGATGATCTTATATGAGTCAAACACATTTCAAGATTTAGCACATTGTCATAAAAGATATAGAGGAACAATCAACCATAACAATAGCAAAGCAGTCCAGCATTTTCAAACCCATTTCAAAACTTCCAAACAACAAAACAGATGATCCAACAATAAGTAAATTAGGGGGCAGTTGGTGATGATGAAGATATGATTGAGATCAAGGAATAACAGTATGTGAAGATTTATTTCTCTGATATGATATCCTATGAATTGTTGATTGAATTAACACAAAAGGAATTCAAAATCGAAGAATGATGAAAAGAAAATGCTGCCCTGATTCAATCTGTTGACAGAAGTTACAATATATGATCGAATTAACTGCTATTTAGAACTGGAAATTTTACACAAGAACCCTAAAAACCCCTTTCAGATCACATCACTGAATCACACCAAAATTGCTCTTGTTAGACCTTTATAAAGCAATTTTGTTATAATTGAGAGCTAAATTGAAGTAATAATTTACCTTTATCAGAGAAGTGCATGAAGGAATCAACCTTACAATTTTTGTTTCTATCCCTAATAATCTCTTCAACTTCTTTGTAAAACTGCATCTTACTATTTGCCGAATACCCATTATGATTCCCCCCATTTTCGTGTTGTTTAGCTTTCTTAAACTCCTTCAGTAAGTTCCTCCACTTGTCCGTACACATGGTGGGAGATCGATCAAAACCCTTTTCTCTCATCTTGAATGAAATCTGATCCCACAAGTGCTTGTTTGACTTGGAAGTGTTGAAAAGTGAATCGATCTCATGACGGAGGATAATTAGGGTTCGAGTTTCTTCTTTGACCCAAGTCTCGGCTCGTTTCTTCACCGGTGGTGAAGCTGAAACTGTAGGTGTAGCAGCGGCAGATGATTTGATGGTGTTCTCTTCGCTGCTGGTGGCCGGAGCAGCAACAATCAATTGGGTTTGGTGGTGGTGAGGGGTAGGGGTGGTAGTGGTGGTGGATTCCATCATCATGTTTGTTTGGATTGATGCAGGGCAGAAATTGATGGCTTGAGTGAACATGTGGAATTCAAACTGTTGAGTGAGAGCTACCATTGACCGGCAACAGAGGTTTAATAGAAGAAAATGACAAATAATTAAATGAATACTATTAGACGGTTGAGTCCGGGGGTTTATGGTAATAATTTCTTGAATGGTTTCTTGTAAAATAATTAAACGGTAATGATTAAGAGGTTTTTATAATATAATATAATATAAAATAAAATATAATTATTTGATAATTATTTATAATTAGATTATGACATTTAATGGTTAAAAAAATCATGATACAAAATCATTCACAAGGTTTTAGAACCATTAAGAATCAAACTTTTTTACATGGATCGGATAATTTCCTTCTTAAAACGTAATTCATAAATGAACATGATATCAAAAATGATCTGGATTCAGTCTTCTCTTACATTTCTTATCATAACTTTTATTCTCATTAGATTGTTTGTATATTATTAAATTTTGTCAACCAAAGTGTAGGGGCTGTTTGTGTGGCTCTTAATGGTGATATTAAGAGCCAACCTCTTAATCGGTAAGAGGTAAAGACTGGTAAAAAAAATAACCCTCTTAATGGTTACATGACCCTCTTAACCATTTTGTGTCTATGGCTTCACTCAACCATTCAGATATCATTTCTTCCTTCTTTACCCTTCCTTCCACGTTGCCTTCACAATCTTTCCCACTCATCTCTTCCAGCTTGAGCCACCAAACTCAACAATGGCGTCGCGCGACAAGAATCCGGCAAAACCATCGACGAGTCGTCCCCGCGGCATTCGAACTCTCTCCGATTTGAACCGCCCCTCCGCTCACGATTATGACAACGACTCGGATGCCCCTCAGGAGTACTATACCGGTGGCGAAAAGAGGTTTCCCTTCGATAACTTCCAAACCCTGTATTCCTTTTTCTTTCTTACTGATCGTTTAAATCCTGGATTAGTTTGTGACAATAATAGATTATTGATCATTGATCATGTTGATTGAATCAAATTGAGCCTGCTGTATGTGCACTGAAATTTCATGGGGTTATGCACTGTATGTTGAAATCTCATAGGGTTATGATTTATCTTTTTAGAGGGTTAAAATGGTAATTTACTGTCATTCAGAGAACAGTTACCAAACAACATTATTTCAATTTAACACTTAACCATTATGGTCTTCTTAACCATTCTGACCACTTAACCATTCAGCAACTGTCAAACAGCCCTTAGTGTTTTAAAAAATTCGTTGGAGGGTGCATGTAATGTTATTAACAAAGACATTTAATTATTAATTATATATCTATTATGACGTCACATCATCAATCTTCACCTGGCTACCTTCCCTTCTATAAACCCTAGCAATTCAACGCCAAAATACGAGGGTTTTAGAGATTGAAGATTGGAAACCGCCAATGAGCCGCTAGATTGAATTGGGTATGGATTCATCTTCATTTTTTTGTTGCTAAAACATCTGGGCCGCCCATCCCTTTCCAAATTTTAGGGTTCTTCAATCAATTTCTTATACTTGAGCTATGTTTTCATGATACGCAGTTAAAAAGCTCCATTTTCCTCCTCTTAAGTTCAAAAGCCTCCGTGGATTTTCACCAAAAAGCAATTGCCAAGTTCGCATTGATTTTTTAGGGTTCCTAATGTTTTTTGGTTACCCTATTTTATCCTCTTAATTTCAAAAGTTCCTTGAACTTTCTCCATAATGTTTCATATAAAATCTCCAAGCAATGGAAGCTACAAAGTTTAACATTTTAGGGTTTTTATATTCCCAATTTTATGAACAGTGTCGTTGAGCAATATCTGTCTGTTATTGTAGAGCTTTGTCGAATAGAGCAAAGGGAGACTGTCTGTGAGCTATCTGGAGGTACTCTTCCTTTCTTCATCTCAATTCCATTTGTGGCTATAAAAGTTGATCATACTTGTGGAACTGTTTCTGAAATCCTACCAAAATGGCCGGGAAGTTGTTCAAAATATCCATTTTTGGACTCCCCAATTCATTTTATAGCTGTATCGACTGAACTAGCCAAGATTTTGCACTTTATCAACTTGCAAAATCCTAAATGGGAAATGAAGTGCACAAATTGAAAATGATGATGTTTTAAACTTCCTTCAAAGACTTGTATAAATCTGCTTTGTTCCATAGCTCGTTGAACGAGTGAATCTAACCTCTGACCAGATAGGAGACCAGGAATTATGAGTTCTTTTGAGTCAGTAGTAATTGGTTTGTAAGACGAGTGAAACCAATTCAATTGGGTTCCTAATCTGCTTTTCGTTAGATGGGTATAGTATTGTTCGGAGATTTGGCATGTAGACAATCAAACACATCGAGTATCAAGCTCTTGATATAGTTTATGATCAGCATTGAGTTGGAAAAAATTCCAATTCTGAGTTTTTTAGGAGGGCACGTGGTTTGGTCAATTTGTTGAGGGAAAAGAGAGCTGAAAATGATCAAGTTACAAATACCCACTTCAAAAAATGCAGTAAACATTGCATGATCAAAGCTTAAATAGCGAGTTATTGAGATGATGATAATTAAAAGTCTATTTACATCAAATGTTTATGACTAGAATCAGTTTGCCAACGTTTGGTTCTGATTGAATCAGACATTTGTTTTCATACCGCTCTACTTTTTCTTTAATCTCCTTGATTGAGGTCTTCAAATTATTGATTGTTTTATGGTTCTTGTAGACTTTGGCAATGACCAATGCCTGTGTCACTAGACTCTGTGTTATCCACAATAAAGTAACGACAGTTTATATTCCCAAAAGAAAGACGTTTCAGATCAACTTTTTCAGACCATTTCCAACCTGCGCATCAGCAGCATCAACCGCTCTAGCCTACAACCCCCAATGGTTGACCGTGACTTGTCAACTGACTCCATCAGATGCACCTGCACAACGGTCCGAGGAATGGTTCGCCCTTCGGAAGGACCGGTTGACCACTAGCACCTTCAGCACTGCTCTTGGCTTATGGAAAGGAAAGCGCCGGTATGAGCTATGGCACGAAAAGGTATTCCCTTCAGATGCAGAATCAACGATCACACTTGCTTCAAAAAATGCCATGGAATGGGGTGTTCTTAATGAGTCAACCGCCATTGAGAAATACAAAACTATCACCGGTCGTGAAGTGAGTTCATTGGGGTTCGCAACACATTCAGAGGATAAATTCGATTGGATTGGTGCATCCCCAGATGGGCTTCTTGGGTGTTTTCCAAATGCCGGGATTCTTGAAGTGAAATGCCCGTATAACAAAGGAAGACCCGAGTCAGCTATGCCTTGGGCAACTATGCCCTTCTATTATATGCCTCAAGTTCAGGGTCAAATGGAAGTTATGGACAGAGATTGGGTCGATTTGTATTGCTGGACGGCAAATGGGAGCACTATATTTCGTGTCTGTAGAGATCAAGAATACTGGAAGCTAATTCACGAGATTTTAAGAGAATTTTGGTGGGAAAATGTGGTTCCGGCTAAAGAAGCTTTGTTGATTGGGAGTACGGAGGAGGCTAAGAAGTATGAACCAACATCAACGCATAAACTAACGGGATTAGTGATTCATAAGAGCCTAAAATTGGCCGGTGAGTCGAAGCTTTTGTGTAGAGAAGTTGCAGGGAATGTCGAATTTTTATGAGGTAATCCCCTCAAATTATTTGTTTTTAAAGTTACATACTTTGGCACAACCATATGTTCATCGTCTACGTTAGCTTATTATATCTATAATTATATTACCTTATATTCATTTCTAGTAATTCTTGAAACATGATTTCATATGTAATACATAGGGGCAGGGTCATTTAGAGCTTGTGTGTTAGCAGTTTGATGAGCTTAATAGGACTTGCAGCTTATTCACTCAGCTATACATGACTGTTTGGTTTGTTAGTGGCTTAATGATAGATAAAGAAGCTTATTCAGTAAGCTTCTAAGGGGAGCTTTATGCAGAAAGCCAAGTCTTTTTCAAACATGCCCCTCCCAATTAAAGAAACACGCTCTTTCCATCTAAAAAACCCTCCTGAACAAAATCTTCCCAATCTATATAGACAGATTATCCACACAGGCCGCCTTATCCATACAGGACTGAATGGAAAACCAACCAAACAACCCCTTTAGGCACCTTAAATATTTTAGGAACCAAGGAATCACCTATTTTGTGAGTATTCATTATTCATTACGTTATCCACACCTCCGGTCGGATGAATGGAGGACCGACCAACCCGGGTTTTCAATTCATCATATGAATATCTATCACAACATTGATCTTGAGTATGTATCACGCTAATTCATCATGAATATTTATCACGTATCCATCATGAATACTCACAAAAAAGGTGGTTTCTCAGTTCTTAAAATATTTAAGGTTCCTAAATGAACATCCCTCTAATATCGTACACACAGTTTTTGAGGCATAGCATGAATTTAGATCTTAGATTTTGACTTCCATGAAGACCAAGTCAAGAACTTTTGACCTGAAACAGCCATGACCACACAATAACTAATGATTGAGTTGCTTTCTTGAATGTTCGGAGCAAAATGCTAAAAGATTCTTGGCCATCGATTCTGTTTATAACTCAAAAACAGCTGCATCAAAATGGGTATGTTTTGAGAAAAAAGAAAAGAAAAATGAAACCAGTCAGCTCAGAGAAACCCTGGGCTGATGAATGGGATCCCGTGAGAGACTCTCCATTCAACAAAAAGGGCAAGGAAAACGACGAACCAGGGAGAACCCGAGCTGCAGTGAAGTCGATGTTTACCCTAACGTGGATGAAGAATCTCGGTAGGAAACCTGACAAGAATCAGCCATCTACATGATGATGGATGATGCTATGCATTCTAATCTTTCCGTCTCTTGGTTGATTGATATCTGTTTTTGGGTTAATTTCTTTAGGGTTTTTTGCTTTCAAATTCAATAGAAATGTCCAGGAAAGATGTTTGTTTGTTCAAGGTAAAGATTGTGGCATGGTATCCCCCATATAAGCAGGATGGATGGGTTTTTAAGGCATTTGTCAATTATGTTGTGGTTACCAAATGAATGATCAAGTTTTGAAGCTTTGATTATACGAGTATCCGTAGTCGATTGATGCTTTTGTTTTTCTTCGATTTTCTAATCGTTTTTTTGGCTTTTTAAGGTCCAATTCATACACATGTCTGAAATACTTTGTTTTTGCCGGATTTGATTTAATCTATGCTTGATAAATTGTGTATGATTTTTTTTTAGAAACCAAGAACAAAGAAGTTCGTCTTCTAATTAGGAGGATCAAACGAGAATAGGATCAAAATAAGATAATACGAGAGCAATAAAATCACAAATGATTTTTTTACACTGAGATCATATACGATTATGGAACACGGCATGGCTTGTGACCTAGGTCGTGTGTAATCAATTTAAGTCCAATGTAAAGCATTCTTGTGTTCTTATATTCAGTCAATGCTTTCATTTGAACCCGATTCACTCTAACAAAGATTGGTAAACGGGTCTAAGCTTGTACAAATAGTCAAATATATAATGAGTTCATTCCCATTCATGGTTATAAAAACTCTCCAAACTCCAAGATTTATCCAAATTGCTTTTACGTTTACAGCTTAACATGTTTGGACTAAGGAGCAGTTCGGTTCGTTTTCTGTTAAGACATGTATGGATATAGTTGTCTGTATTGATATAGTTATCTGTATATTAACAGATAAGTTATTGTTCGGTTGTTGTGCTAAATAAACAGTCTGTATGTCAAAAATGACCATTTTACCCCCAATCTTTATTTGCGTTTAAATAAAACAACAGTTTGATGAAAATGTGGATGGATACATTCATAATGGATTTCCAACTGTTTTTTTTCCCTTTATGCTCTTAACTATTCAAAATTGAAACTAAAGAGTCAAAAAAATAATCTAATTCTTACAATTCCAACCAAGAGGAATGAACAGGTTCCTACTCCAAATGAAAACCCCCCAACAACACCCTCCTCTTTCTTTCTTATCCCTTCCTTCACCATCCACCCACACCTATACAAAGCACACACCCAGACCCACACCCACACCCACACCCACACCCACACCCTTCGTCTTCTTAAAAAACCCACTATACACACACATATATGCACACCTGACATAAATACACGGACACACATATAAAACTTATCGGAGCAATGGTGAGGCATGCGGGTAAAGCAATGCACGATGAAGAACAATCGAGTACTTGTGCGAGAAGAACGACATACCTTTGTGAGCGATGGATTCAACAGCTTGTGGAGAACGATGGGGGAAGAACAATCGAACAGGTACTTCTCTATTTAGGGTTGGGGGAGAGGGATAGTAGGGGAAAAGGCAATGGCTAATTACATAAGAGTGTGATTACATAGTTGTGCGAATCAGCCCCTTTATGCGTGATTAAACCCTTACCGAACGCAAGGATATGGTTGTGCGAATCAGCCATATCTGTTATATGGTTCAATAAGCCCTTACCGAACCGCCCCTAAGCTCGAATTGGCTTATTTTATCCAGCAGATAATTTCAAACTCTTGAACATTGAGCTCTCTCTCTTATATATCAAGAAGACAACTTGAACTCAGTTATGCTAATAGCAATCTTGTTCAAATATTAGATTGGACTTTACATGACAAAACTGGACACATCATCAAACTAGGACTGTACATGGCAAAACTAGACAGGACAAAAAAGGCATCATAACCTATCTTGGTAAAATGTCAAACGTAAAACAATGAATTTGTTCTCGTCCCGTTCCATCTCATGTACAACCAGCTTCATGAGATAGTTCAGAATGGAACTTTCTCAGCCAACAAAACATTTCTCTAAGAAAGTACAAATATAAACATTTTAGCCATTAGAAGAAACCATTTGAATCAAAGTTCAACGTGAACATCAAACGAGAACATGTAAAAAAATTCAAACAAAATACGGTGATGATACTGTCTATAAAAAATTCAACCTTCGAATGCAGGACAAGTACGAGACATGCATAACCCACGAGACGAACGGGTAGCGCAAACCAGCAACCCAACAGCTCCACCCGATTCCACATGGCTGCTCATCACATCATTACAAGCCACCCTGAACCCGTCTGGCCAAGACTTCAACGACCATCGTTCTTTCGGATATCATCCTACGACACAAAATCTTGAAATTTTTACCAATCTTCCCTTCAAAATTGGAGCTGTACTCGACATTCATCGCTCATCCCCGCCTCCGAACCTACATCAAGAAGACCAACAGCCCCACATCACATTTGCAGTATCACCATGATCAGCCATGCCACACCACAATCCATCTCAATCATCACCCACCATATTAAATTCTAATTTTCATTTGTTTTGTAACTTTTTTTTCCAATTTTCTCTTCCAACATATTAAACCATTAGGAGCTTCCATCAAACGGCAGCTAGCAGAATGATAAACCCTCCTCACTTGACTACCCTTTTTAACTAGATAAAGGATTTTGAACATCATCCATCCATCGCAAACTCTGCCACATAAACCATCATCATCATCATCTAGCCATCAACCTCCATCTCTTGTGCCTTTTGGCACCTTGGCATCTCCTTCAGACAACTGGAGCAAAGATACTCCAAAGAAAAGGTTTCTTCATATTCGCTGTTGTGAACGCACCGACCACACTGAGCACATCGAGGTATGCAGATTATGCAAGCTCTACATAAATCCCCACATTGGTCCTTCACTCTACAACTTTCAGCCGGACAGTCGTAAACAAGCCTCAAATTCTGACATCTTGGGCATACTTCAACATCAATATCGCGGTCATCATCAGATGGCATATATAAATTTCCTCGATGATAATAATGAGGATTGTACTCATTTTTGTGCATGTTACCACTAGTGCCCAACAAAAACTTCAACTCTTTGAAGTGCTCATGCGTTATGCCATAGAACCCACCTGTTCTTATATGTTTGATACCTGAACTACCTTTATGTGACTTGAAAGCCTTCAAATTATTCAAGATTCCCTCAATACTAAGTCTTGTGCATCCAGGAACCGACAACTACATGAAAAACAACACATATGTGGTCAGAATTACAGGTACAAAGATAATACCAGATGACGTTTTATGGATTCTGATGATAAAAAAACTGAATTACAGCTACAAGACTAATTTCACCAATCCCATGTTAATTGCTCTTGATCCCAAAAAGAGATTAGATTATAATTCAATTCCAAACTGTCTAAAACTCCTCTCGTAAATTAATCCACTTTGAAACTGCATATATCATCGCATTCTCATATTCACAATGCACCACAAAATTGAGTTTAAAGTTTTTAGTTAGGCTAGACAAGCAACCACAATCTACATCCAGTGGAACCTCGTTGCACTTCACTATAAAACAACTCTGGTCCACATGGCAGAACATCGTACAGCAGAGTGGTTGATTGATGCAAACATGATGAATCAATTACAATTTTCGGTGCCTAGATGATATTGATGGGAAAATAAAATAAATAAACAAGTTTCAACACCCTGTCTCAATAAAACAGTAGTATATGTGCTCTATAAACATGTTCTCTCTCCATCCCACAGAACTGTTAAAACATGTTCTCTCTCCATCCCACAAAACTGTTAAAACATGGTTCAAGAGAAGTGTTTGGAATATTAGTCAATATCCCTTGGTGTGAGAATGCAGAAGATGTTGTAGCAAAACCAATTTGATCAACTTCTTAGAGATAAAAATGGAACAATTTTGTAGCTCTTACTGAAAAAATAAAGCCCACAAAAAGAATTTTTGTAACCAAAAATCCAAAATAATATATCCCAAAATGAGACGTTTTGCAAAATTTATGTCACAAAGGGAGCATGGCTCATGCATTTACATTCCAAACAGGTAATAATGGTTCAAGATCAAGGAATGTTGTTGAAGCTAATAACCAATCCAACAAGTGAAAAGGGAAAATGACAGAAATTCCATGCATCTATTCATAGATCATATCCACTTTGCAAGTGATGTAACCTGGCATGATTAGAAGCACAAATTTTTAAAAAGAAGCTACTCACCAACTTTCAAGCCATGTTAATTTACTGGCACTTATGTGCAAGAGCATTACATAATACATACATCATTCATTCAACATGCTTATCATGAAAGAAATATTTAAACTCCACCACCAAATAAAAAATAAAATGAACCCTCTTAGCAACATAAATTCTGTTAAGAAGTTTAAAGTAGTCCTAGATGCCAAAGAATGCCTCACAATAGCTTAATGTATATACAATCATAACCTACTGTTTTATACTTTTTTATTTAAATCACTCCAAGAATTTGCTCATCTAAAAGACTTAGGTGTCAGTTTTCTTACTCTTCCCCGATTCACATCCAAACAAAATACATAATTGATCAGTCTTGATATTTCTTATTCAACATGGTAAGATGGTATACATCATTAGTAAACAGTTTGTTCACGAATTCATGTATTATTGCATTCAAATGGAACACAAAACAGAACCTCATTATTTGACAAATGTACAGAGAGAGAGTTTCATCTGGACTTTAAATTTGTAAAATTAAGTTTTTCTAGAATATGCAAGGATTTGTTGGTAATTAACTACGTTAAACTTTTAAAAACACGCAATGAACATCTACATTTCCTTCACGGTCTTAATACTTAAATAAAGTACATATGTGGAAGTCTGACACAATGATGTCCTTTTTTGTGTTTAATTTGGTTATTTAAATTAATCCCAACATGATAAAACCCAAAGGTGAAAGACTTGTAACAACGTGCTTTACAATTAACTGGCAATCAAATCAGTGCGTTATTTTAGCATTGGGGTGCGTTTGGTGTCCAGACATGATTGGACACGACAAAACAAAACAAGACAGCACAACCGTTCAACGTTTGGTAAGACATAACTGAACTGAACAGAACAGAACAAGTAAAATAACCAATTTACCCCTAATGAGTTGTTTATATATTTGATTAATTATGTAGTCTGTTAAATTATAATAAAATAATTATTTTTATAACAAAATATATCATTAAAAAGTTTTCGTCAAAACAATTAAAATGACACCCAAATAAAAAGTTCAATATAGTTTCCAATTTTTTTATTATTCCTTTTCTACATTATTTTTTATTAGTAATATACAATAAATTACATATATTAATAAAAATATAGAAACCGTGAAAACATAATATTTTGAGGACAGTAAAATGGAAGTTTAAAAAGCATAAAATACAATAAATAAAATTTAAAGAATGAATAAAATGTAAAAAGGAGACCTATTTGATGTTTTAGAAGAAAATTAAGTTTTATTTTGAGGATATATTGGTAAAATACAAGTCTATTCTATTCTTGTATGTTCCACATAAAAGTCCTCCCAAATGTGAAACATGATCTCTGTTCTATCCTGTCCAATGTACCAAACGCACCCTTGGTGCTTTAAACTGAACATGTAAAATATTAGTTAAATAGTTACCAAAAACAATCTGATTAAGAGGATTCCCTATACCCCTAGAACCGTTTCAAAGAACTTCAAAGAAAATATTGCAAATGGTAGCAGGCGTCAAGAACATGAAAGAACACCTTGAAATGCAATTATAATGATTGAGCACTGCTCACCTTAGTTAATTTTGGATTGGTCTGCAATACACGCTTCAGACCATCATCAGTGATCCTTGGGCATTTTATGAGGGTCAAACACCGGAGATTGCCTTCTGCCCTGCTAGTCAATTGCACAAGAATATCATCTGTAATCCTCTCATTCAATGGCTGATCAATGTAAATACTCCTCCACAATAGTGAATCATTGTGAATGTTATAACATAGAGATCTACAAACACGCTCCACTGAGAGAAGATCTCTTGTTCCCAGATAACTAAGAGCAAGAACAAATGCCTCATGAGGATCTCCTCCAACTGCATTAGAAGAATGACCAAAATCATCCTCATCCCCACACTTTGTGACAAGAGAGCTTGTACTTCCATGATTGAAACCCATCACGTCCTCTGCACAGTGGACAGGACGAATCACACCCTCACCCTCGAAACTTCTAAACTGACATCCCATCGTGCATTTGTCAACCATACAACTTGCACCATCTTTATTATCAGATGCCTCGGTGCTTGGAAATGATTGAAACCTCATAGCACTGTTCCAAATCAAATTGAGACCTGCAAACAACCCATAATCTTCATTTGTATTCACAATGTTGTTCCTGACATATGCCCCATAGTCCACTTCCAAATCCTCAAGCCACCCAGTGATGGCGGTAAAAGTGGTGCTAATATCAATATCCATCCCAAATGGATCTGATGGCAATAGGTCAACTATGTCCACAGACATGGGATCTGGCGAGCCACCTTTATCAACTTTCTCCCTCCCATAACCAAAACGATCATGCATTTCTCCATTACCATGCCTAGGCTTAATAAAGCCCTCTCCCCCTTTTTCTGCCATGCCTTCCACAACATACCCATTCACAATCCTCAATGGTGAAACCAGATTGTCTTCTGATGTATGGGCAGGAAAAATAGGCCGTTGTGAATAGTTCAGGGCCATTTTGTACACGCCTAAAAGAGAATTCTATTTTCCCGGATATACGATGCTGAAAACTACTTGTAATGAGACCCCAGATTCAGCTAAATCACCAAATCAGAAACAAAATAGGGATAATTCTCGATCTTTTTTTTTCTTCTGTTCCTTTTTTGCTTTTTTTTTCTTTGTTTCGATGATAACCTAAACCTAGAAAAAAAGGGAAAACTCAACAAGAAAACCCTCAATTTTGGGGACAGACTAAAACAACGCGCCGAAAATTTTCAGAGTTTCTTGTAGGGAACCAATACCTATACGAATATCTATCAGCTACAATATCAAGAGAAGAGCGAAGAAAACCCGAAAACGATAATCAATATACAAATAAAGAATCAATGAATAATAATGCCCTAATCCTCGAAGCCAAGACCTAAATCCACATAACCAAAAAGAACAAATATAAAAGAATCAAGAAGTGGAAGAATATAACCTGATTAAGATCAGAAAACCTAGATTTTGCCAAGAACAATCGCAATCGACAGAATTTGAGGAATGGATGGACAGGGTATCGTCTGTCCAGATAATCAAAACGCCGTGAACGTCGATCAATCGCCTCAAATGTAGAACACGATGATAACACCTGATAGTAAGGTAGATAACAAGAATCGAAGGAAAATTCGATCCGAGTCGAAGGAATCTGTCGATCGAGTTCAGGAGAACGAGAGAGACAGAGAAGGGTTATCTCTAGAGAGAGAGTGTGTGGAAAGGGGGGAATATGGAAACATATATTACTGCAACTAGAAGAGGGGTTAACCGACACGTGTCTGGCTCGTATAGTTTTACTGCTTCTTTCTGTGGTGGAAGCCGGAATTTTCTGACCGTTTGTGGTTGGGTTTTACCGGTGACCGGTTAAATAGGACTATGGTCAAAGTCATAATTTTCTTTTCTTTTCTTTTTTTTAAATTAAAACCATCGATATATTCCTCATGGTTGAAAACTTGCTTCGTGACCAAGAAATTCATGGGTATTTGTACGTGTGTCTAAACTACGTATTTTTAATAAGTTGATTTTTTATTTTTTATTTTTTATTTTAAATTATATTTTTATAATTATCTATGAGCAAAATAATCAAGTAATAATATTTTGTTTGTGAGAAAATATGGTTATTATAATATATATTATATTATAAAATATTTGATAAAAAAATTTAAAAATTATTTTTTATGTATAAAGTACTGTTTATTGATGCATATAACTTAAAATTCAAGATTACAAGTAATTTTGTGTAAATACATCTTATTAAAACTTCATTTTTGAATTCGTGTAATCAACTGTAGATAAATATAATCAAATACAGGATAAACATTCATTTTAAATGTTAAAAATCTAAAATATAATTAAGATAATCATTGAGTTCTAACAGAATATTTAATTATTATCTTTATAGAAAATTATATTACTGAAATCAAAAATAAATTACTTCATTATAAATCTAAATTGAATTAAAGAACTTATACCAAAAAAACGAGAACTATTAAATAGTTAATTTGATATTAATATTGATTTATTTATTTTCAAATTTTTATGTTATCTTCAAATTTATAATTCATTTAAAAATAAAAACATTTTCGATTTCTCAAAACCACATAAAATCGTATTATATCGATACAGATAAAGAATAAAAACTAAACATTAAAATCGAGATTTATCTTACTGTATTGTGCGAATACCCTTCTAGTAAATGATAATTATCTGACTTCTAGTAATTAACTATTTAATTTTCGTTAGGATTCTTTAAATAGAATAAATAAAAATAAATCAATATTTATCAACAATTTATAGTTTATCTTAGATTCGTCTTTATCTTTTAAAGGTTGTTGAAATCATCAAAGACTTCTTATATGGTTGTTCTGTTTGTCGATGATGTTGTAACAATAATATAATTTACTGTGATAATGACGTGGTAATGAACAGACAAAGTCGGTGTGGACGTGATGATCATTGGGTTTCGACTTATCATATTGTTATCACAACAAAATCACATCATATAACAGTGGTAAGTCATGTCGAATCCACGTGGATTGGTCGTGACGATTATTTGACTTCTACACTTTTAAATAAAGGGGGCATAGATTCAGAGATTATGAAAACTAATCATATGAATAAAAACGATATAATTAAAAAGCCCAACAACAACTTCATCATTGATGTGATGCAGAATGTTTATCATCGATTCCTATAGTGCAAAAGAAGACATGACAAGTCTAAACTGACCATGGTTGTCGATAAGCTCTGGCAACCTCGATTTTACCTTATCAACCAGAATTAGCTCTTCGGTTAAATATTAACAATAAACGAGGTTTTAAACAAGCTCTTAAATCCCAAGTGCGATTAACATTAGCGAACTAGGAAATTCACTGATTCAAGGCAATAAGCTCACAAGTTCGGCTTACTAAAGCTTTTGTTGCAAGAATTCATGGCATGGTTTCGAAAACCTTATTGAAATCAAACATATCATTTGTCATTTTATCAAAATCCCCAAACAATTACGGATTTCGGAATTCAACGAGATGAACTTGTCATTTTATCAAAATCAAAGGCTACGCTAATTGTGAATGAAGAAACTAGTAACTTTTGGAAATAAACAAAAAAATTGATTGAAAAGCTTCAAAATCATCTCATTTAATTCCAAAATCGTCCCTAGTTTTTGCTCTCCCTCAACACGGCGGTTTCCAACTCAATTTATACCATGATATTAGAAACACTGCTTAAGATTCAAAATTTGACAAAATTGGTCCCTACGGTAAAATATGCGACCCCAACATGCCAGGGTAGCATTTTGTGTATGGTAAGTTCATATACCATTGTACGACCCTTGCACGCTACCCTGGCATGGCCGGATAACATTTTCCTCTATTTTGCCTCTCTTTGACTACTTATTCTATACAACCCTCTTAATTACGACAACCATTTTTCCTCTCGTTTTCTCATCCGTTTCTTACCCTGATCAACATAAAACCTGGGCCAGGATTATAAAAACGTAATTTAAGCTTGTTAAAATATAAAAGTGAGGATTTTAAGTCTATAAACATATATTAAAACATGGAAACTCGATGCTATCATGTGGACATTGAAGTCTTCGATGATGCTAGCAATATTTAATAGATACAGTTATTTAATTTTGAGGAGGCCCAAAATGTCAAAACATGCGTTTTTCCTTCGGTATTCGATATTTTCTTCATTTGAACATCAAAGTAGACTATTCCAGCAACCGTTATCTCCTCAAAGGCTCGTGAATAACTCGCCTAAGATGGCTGCTCGATTAGGAAAATAATTTACATACTTAAATTATTCTCTTCCAATTTATTTATATAAAATAAATAAATTAATAATCCATCTTCATTAAAATCAAATAATCCCAAGCATTTTTTTATGATTTTGGTTTTAAAATAAATGAATTGTTTATTTTAACCCATAAATTTATTTTCATAATTATTTACCTATCCCTATTTTGTGGAGTTATATCTACAAAGTTCCAAACTTGGTTGTTTAACATAAATTGTATTTCAGTATTCATGGCATCGTGTTATTTATCAGATTCTAAGCCTGATACGACTGCCAATGAGATAATCATATCTCCCAGGCTCTTGGCGATTCATACCCGATATTCGGATTATTTGTATCTTTTCTCAGCAACCTGTTGAGGTTCAATATCTTGTTGATGGTCAGTGCCAACTATTATCCCACCATGTGGTTTTTGAATTTCTTCAAGTTCTACTTTGTCCCCTTAGTGGTTATTGTTAAAATATCATTTTTAAGAACTCACCACGTTGCACAACCAAGAGTGATTTAAAATGAACATGAATCAACCAGATAACGTATTTTTTAATATAACATGTTCACTTTCTTGTTTTCTTTTTCCAGGCTGGAATCATCAAAAATGTCGTAGTGAAGTGGGATTTTTTTTAATATGGTTTTGGTTGCTAGCAAAAAGGATGGTTAATGAAGGCGATACAGCATACCATATTGCTGAAGTCATAATCAATGGTTTACAAATAACATATGTTAACGAGTTGATTCGCGAAATCGAAATAACATATGTTAACGAGTCAGATTCACGAAATCGATAACATTGTTGGTTTATGGACATACTTTAATTTTTAATCTTGGAGATGAAAAATATATGTTTCAAAATTTTGCTACTAAGGGAATGTTTACCAAATATTTATCCGACAAGTGCTTATTAATAAAATTTAACACTATTATTTACTTACTGGGTAAGATTTTAGTTCACCAAAACGACATCACATGCAACAATTTACCTGGTAAGTACTTACCGTGGTAGGAGTCGTCGCCCTCACTTACCGGGTAAGACTCTTGGTCTTTATCTCGTTCTTTCCGGGTAATATTATTGGTCTTTACGTATTCGTCTGGTGAGTTAACGTGACTTGGTAAGCGCTTACCCGAGTAAGCATTTGATAAACGGCTCCTAAGACTCATACTTTCATACGTATTAAAGATGCATACTAATATAGATAACTAATTAATAAACAAGTGAATACTATCAAATATAAGATAAACATTAAGCATACTGATAAATTGTTATATACTTCATAAAACTGATACCGCATTAATTACTCTCTTTCTTTTAAGAAAAACTTATTACTCTCTGAATACCGCAATGATTAAATGAAAAAAAAAGATAGATAGTAGAATGAAGCATGGTTAAGGGCTTAAGTTCTCAACATCCTCACCCGCATACAACAGTCAGTTTGATAAGGATCGAGTGACATTGCTTATTCGATCTTAATGGAGATTAGATCGCGTTGAATTGATGGATAACTGCTACTTAAAGTTCAACAAAGAAAATGTTTCACATTTCATATTCCAAAAAACGATTTTACTAAATTTGGTATGAACGACTTAATCATTAATCCATAAAAAGAATCTTCTGTACCTATACATCCAAATTTGAAAATGAATAATTTAACTCGATAGTAGTTTTTTTTTATATTGTTATAGTTTAAGACATCCTTAACCAACTGATCTATTATATATTACTAGTTGTGTACCCGCGTAATGCGGCGGGAGCCATGAATTTTAACGATTTTGAAGTTCCACTGGTTTTATAAGATAAGATTTAGCGATGATATATGTTACACTTGGTCTTTGCATATTAATACAATTTGAATAAATAAGAGTTATTGTTCCAATTACAGACTATCGATGAAAAAAATTGTATGACAGTTTAAAATCCAACATATTTAAACGACACATTTGTTTAAAATCCAACATATTTAAACGACTCCACAAATGTGTTCGATTTACACCAAGAGCAAAGAACCAAGAAACTTGAATTTTAAGATAAACACTCAAAACCAATAAAGAAAACTACAAATTTGACAGATCATAAGCCATGAAAAGACCAAAAAAGATGGGTTTTAGAATAAAATTTCAACTGTTTACCCTATTTCTTGTCCAGAAACTCAGATTAAGGTTGAACTAATATATGTATATATATATATATATATATATTGTTAGTCCCGAAGGGTAAGGCAATAAACATAAAGTAATTGTAGAAGGGGGGTTGAATACAATTACACAGACTTTTTTCAACTTTTTAATTCTTATTGATTTATATCAAGAATTAATACACACAGAAATACAAAAGATTGTTGCGGAAGATAGGAAAGGAAAACCTAACCTAAACAAT